CTGGTAACGTAATGTTAAGGGACTGGTAACGTATTGTTAAGGGACTGGTAACGTAATGTTAAGGGACTGGTAACGTAATGTTAAGGGACTGGTAACGTAATGTTAAGGGACTGGTAACGTAATGTTAAGTCAGCTCTTATCGTAAATATAAAGTGGCAGCTAAAAACCTTCATCTAAATTTCGATGTGGTCCAAAAAAGGATCATCTCCGGTCCGTTTTTTCTGCTCATGATAAACTAAAATAAATTGAAAAATGTTTATATAATAACTCCTCTTACTGATGAACTATTGAGAGAGATGAACACAAAGTCTCATATGTAACCAGTTAAAGGAATTGAGTCATTGCCACAATTGAGCCTTTAAATTCCTACATCTCTGTATTCCGGTTTTGTGGACCTTAGATATTTCAAACTATGAATTCTGTCGGATCAAATTATCTAAGTTTGAAACATCAAACGTTTACACCATAACGCTGTAAAGATATAGTGATTAGAAAATTTGAGTTTGTGTCTGGGTCTCAATTCCATTGTATCTCAAATTTGAGCGTAATTTATAAACTACAAAAGCTACGAGGTCACAAAGTCGTACTGGTAAAGTCACCGTCTCTTTAATTCTGGATAGTTTAGAAAAAGACGTTCCTCATTGCATTTATCCTAAGATTTTCGCTGATAAATTATTTATTTTACCCAAATTTAATCGCAACATAAATTTAAGAATACATTGATTTGTAGAAAATTAAGTATTTGCAATTGGACTTTTAAAACTGTGGGAAAAGGAAGACGAAATAAAAGCAATCTTGCATTTCATTGTGTTATAAAACTATAGCTTTAAATAAACTAATTAACGACATGGGTCTCTGTACACGACACAATTTCTGTGCTTCCTGATTAGTGGCATATTAAAACAATCTAAAAGTCGTCTTCCTCTTCCACTGTTTAATGGGTCAACTTTATAATAGATTTATTAATTAAAATATTATTTTGTTCAGGTGGAAAAGAATCGAAAAGTTCGAGCTGTAACAATCTTCATTTACGAGACTTCACTTTAACAAATTTGTTTTAAGACAAACGAGAAGAAGTAAATAAGTTAAAAGAATAACATGGATATCCATCACTTAGGTATTCCTCAAAGAAGGATATCTAGTACCAAGATATTCTTTAAACATGCAGATATCCAGTACAAAGTTATTCCTCAAACATGGATATTTAGTACAAAGGTATTCCTGAACATGGATATCCAGTATAAAGGTATTCCTGAACATGGGTATCTAGTGCAAATGTATTCAGAGAAATGGATATCCTGTACAAAGGTATTCAGAAACATGGATATTTACTGCGAAAATATTCTTTAAGCATGGATATTCATTACATAGATATTCTTTAAACATGTAGATATTCAGTACAAAGGTATTCCTCAAACATGGCTATCCAGTACAAAGGTATTCAGAAGCAAAAATATCCAGAAAAAATGTGTTCAGAAACATGGATATCCAATACAAAGGTATTCCTCAAACATGGATATCCAGTACACAGGTATTCCATAAACATGGATATCCAGTACACATTTATTCCTCAAGCATGGATATCCAGTACACATTTATTCCTAAAACATGGATATCCAGTACAAATGTATTCCTCAAACATGGATATCCAGTACAAATGTATTCAGAAGCAAGGATATGCAGAACAATTGTATTTAGAATCATGGATATCTAGTACACAGGTACTACTCAAACATGGTGATTCAGGACACAAATATTCGTTAAACATGGATATCCAGTACAAAGGTATTCTTTAAACATTGATGTCCAATACATTGATATTCATAAAACAAGGATATTCAGAACAAAAATATTCCTTAAACATGGATACTAATCACACAGATATTATTTAAACATGGATATCCATTACAAAGATATTCCTTAAACATGGATACCCAATACAAAGATATTCTTTAAACATGGATATATAATAGAAAGATATTCCACAAACATGAATATCCAGTACAAAAGTATTCATAAAACATGGATATCCAGTAAAAAGTATTTAAAATCATGGATATCTAGTACAAAGATATTTGTTAAACATTTATATCCAGTACATAAATATTTCCAAAACATGGATATAAAAGTACAAATATATTCTTCAAACTTGGATATTCAGTGCAAATATATTTTTTAAATATGGATATTCAATACAATTTTATACTTTAAACATGGATATTAAGTACAAAGATATTCCTTAAACATTTTAATCCAGTACATAGATATTTCTAAAACATTGTTATAAAAGTACAAATATATTCATCAAACTTGGATATTCAGTGCAAATATATTTTTTAAATATGGATATTCAATACAATTATATACTTTAAACATGGATATTTAGTACAAAGATATTCCTTAAACATTTTAATCCAGTACATAGATATTTCTAAAAAATGGATATCCAAGTACAAAGATATTCTTTAAACATGGATAGCACAAAGGTATTCTTCAAACATACAAAGATATTCCATAAACATTTATATCCAGTACATAGATATTTCTAATTCATGGATATCAAAACACAAAGATATTCTTCAAGCATGGATATTCAATACAAATCTATTCTTAGAACAGGAATATTAGGTACAAATATATTCTTTAAACATGGATATTCAATACAAATATATACTTTATACATGGATATCCGATACAAATATATTTTTTAAACATGGATATTCAATATAAAGATATTCTTTAAACATTTAAATGTAATACAAATATACTTCATACATGGATATCCAATACAAATATATTCTTTATGCATGGATATCCAATACAAATATATTCTTCATACATGGATATCCAATACAAATATATTCTTTAAGTATGGATATCCAATACAAAAATATTCTTTAAACATGGATATTCATTACAAATATATACTTCATACATGGATATCCAATACAAATATACTCTTTAGACATGGAAATTTAATACAAATATAAACTTCGTACATGGATATCCAAAACAAATATATTCTTTAAACATGGATATTCAATACAAAGATATTCTACAAAATGTGGATATCTAATACGTAAATATATTCTATAAAATGGGTATCCAATATAAAGATAGTCTTTAAACATGGATTCCAATAACGATATATTATTTAAACATGGATATTCAGTACAAATACATTCTTCAAACATGGATGTTAAGTACAAATATATATTCTTCAAACTTGGATATTCAATACAAATATATTCTTTAAACATGGATATCCAATATAAAAACATTCTTTAAAATTTATATCCAGTGCAAAAGTAATGATAAAACATTGATATTCAATTCTCGATATTCTTTGAACATACATATCCATGTCAATGATGTCTATTGTCTATGTTCTCTGAATCACCCTGCAGTACAGATTTAGTGTTTGCATATTTGAATAATGTAAATATTTAAAAGATTGTATAGTATTATTGTTCCTCCATGTCACTTTTAAACAAAAATCGCCTTTACAATAAAACAATCGTTATTAATCGCTTACATAATTTGTTTTCCTGTTATATGAAGAGGGGGAGGGGATTAAAAAAAATCATCAGGGAAGAAAAAAGGAGAGTTTAAAGCACTGAGAACTCGGGTTCTTCAATTTAAAAACCTGACCGACTGTTAACCATCTAGAGCAAGCTGTACAAGTGTACATGGTACTGTTAACCATCTAGAGCAAGCTGTACATGGTACGAGTACAGACTATTTGGACAAACCGGGACATTATGCCTAATTGAATTATCCAGTTTAAAGAAATTTAATTTCAAGCAAGGTTATTTAATGCAATTTGAAAGTTATTTCAGAGGTATACGCATCTTTTGTAATGCAGTGTACTGTCACTGGGCGGTAATGGAAATCCGGATGTCGAAGCCTGACATGGGATCCATTTTCCACATAAATAAATGAAATATTCTGGTCATAGGAAACTATTAAATGAATTATCAAAATTATTAAAAGATGATGCTTTAATCCTCCTTGAATACTAAACGATTACTGATGCATCTATTCTTGTTTACAAATTCCGCCCAGAGAGAACTGGTTTCAATATGTACGCAGAGTGTACGCTACCGCAATTAACTTTCCTTGCATTACATTCTTGATTTCAAGTAACCCTCCATTTACAGAGAGTAATGTCCGCTTTACAACGGTAAACAATTCAAACCTGTTTCATCAATATTGTGGAAAAAGAATTGAGTCTTTGAAACAAAATCAAATATTTAAACCTCAATATCTTTAGAACTCAGATCATTTGATCTAACAGAATTCATAGTTTGAAATATCTAAGGTCTGAAACATTTGGTTCCAAAGATATAGTGATTAGAAAATCAGAGTTTGGTGCAAAGGCTCTATTATTTTCATTGTTTTAGCTTGAACAGCGTTTCACATCTAATTATCTATCTATGTATCTATCTATCTGTAAATCTGTTTATAACTTGTATAGTTGCAATCTGTAATTACTATTTCAAACATGTTATATGTATAATTTATATCTTTCTCTTATCTGCCTATATCTATCTATCTATCTATCTATCTATCTATATATCTATCTATCTATCTATCTATCTATCTATCTATCTATCTATCTATCTATCTATCTATCTATCTATCTATCTATCTATATATCTATCTATTTTTATATCTACTTAATTATCTAGCTATATTGTGTATGTTAGACTACCATCAAATATGGGTGGGGTTTTCTCAATTCTTTCCTCAAGAGACTTTAATTAAATTTATTTAACTTTTCTTTACTTTTCTTTATTTTACATTACTTAGAATACCATAATTAGAAACTGTCGCTGAAAAAAACATAATTATAGATACAACATGCATAGATTAAACATACTGGGTGTCTTAAAAAAGACTTTTTACGACATCTATATAATAAAACAGATATTCGTATATATGTTCCCTAGAGTCAGCCAAACGGCTGGACCTAAAGGGCTAAACTGTTTTGTGGGGGCTATATAGGCTTTAAGAAAAATCTTTTATTTTTTTCGCTGGCAATTCCGGGCACTTGAGCTAGTAATATATATATATCTCATCCTAGTTCAATTTTATAATTTTTCAACCATTTTTAAAATATTTCCCCTCGATGGATGCCCTTTTGATAGCGCATCTATTTTGCAAATTACTTAAATTTTAGACTTCGTTGAATGACAAATTTTTACATTTAGGAAAAGTATTATAAATATAGAAATCAATCTAGATTGAAATCGTCGATTCGCAAAATGTCCACTCCTTGGTTAAACTCCCATGGTAACTCCCTGATTACTCCCTGGTTACTCCCTGGTTACCCCCTGGTTACTCCCTGGTAACTCCCTGGTTACTCCCTGGTTACTCCCTGGTTACTCCCTGGTTACTCCCTGGTTACTCCCTGGATACTCCCTGGTTACTTTCTGGTTACTCCCTGGTTATTCCCTGGTTACTCCCTGGTTACTCCCTGGTTATTCCCTGGTTACTCCCTAGTTACTCCCTAGTTACTCCCTGGTTACTCCCTGGTTACTCCCTGGTTACTCCCTGGTTACTCCCTTGTAACTCCTTGGTTACTCCCTGGTTACTCCCTGGTTACTCCCTGGTTACTCCCTGGTTACTCCCTGGTTACTCCCTGGTTACTCCCTGATTACTCCCTGGTTACTCCCTGGTTACTCCCCTCGTTATTCCTTGAATATTTCTAACTCTGAATAGTTAAGATGTATTGAGGAAGTTTTCATTAAGCTGATGTACTCTTAGTATCTATAACAGACAGACAGACAGACAGGTAATCAAATTAGAACTCCCCTCTTACACCTCCCCACCCCTCCTCCTTTTCTAACTCCCCTCTCTCTCCCTTGTCTACACTTTAATGGGATTTCCAAGGAGAATAGAAAGAAGGTTTGGGAGAAAGGAGTACAAAAAGGGACAAACAACTAAAATCTAGTTCATTTCACAATAACACAATTTATTCAAAAAAAAATAAGTCGATAGCTCAAACATTTAATTTAATGTAAAAATAATTAGCATTTATTGAAATATATGTATATCTGAGGCCGGAAAAAGCCAAAAATACAAGTAATATCATTTTTTTTGTGTGTGGCTTCAACACTTTTTACAATTATTATCATTTTTTATTCAAAAAAGAAACTATTGTCAGATTTTCTAAAATTTAAGAACTGATTGAAATCTATCCTATCTATCCGATCTATCCTATCTCTATCCTATCTATCCGATCTATCCGATCTATCCGATCTATCCTAATTATCCTCTATCCTGTCTATCCTATCTATTCTACATAGCTTTTCTGCTATATTCATTTAAATGCTCTTTTCAACTCTGCCCTTAGTAACAATTTAAATTAATTGTAAATAGGAAATCGAAGCATATCGGTCTATACCGGCGTGTGCGCATGATTCATGCGCAGAAGACGAATTTAGGGAGGAGACTTTAACGATCGACCTGACCGTAATTTTCAGTTTGACGTCACAACTTGACATAAAACTAACTGGTTCTTGAGTGATCTCACGGACCTTAGGGACATCAGGGGCTTCAAAACTATTTTCAACTTTAATAATAATTTAAAAATTATATTTTAGGTCCGAAGTCGTTCTTTATTTAGGGAGGAAAGGGGCCAAAAGTTTAGGTTTGCGTGATTTCAGGATTTCTGAATAATGGGTTAGTTCTCAACTTTTGTTAAGCTCCGAAGGATCAAGAATTAAATGTCTCCGGGCCCGATCCTTATTGATCGGATTTTCCATCAACTTGTCAAAAATATAATATCTGTTGAGACCCAGGACAGCCTTAGAAACTATCCACCCCTGAAATATGTAATTGAGAGAAGATGAATTGCTTGAGCCTGAGTAAGATATATTTCTGTTTCTAACCCTGCTCCAGGATGGGAGGAGAACAGAGTAAAATATCCGAACCCGGAGTCAAAGTTGCAGTGGAGGAGGCAAACTTTGATTTTCTTCCCGAGGATCTGGTTCAAGGTTCGGAGAAGGAGAAAAATAAGATGCTTTCCTTTCGTCCGGGTTTCATGAAAAAGGAAAAGCCTGCCTGTGTTCAGAACGGGTTGAGGAAGAGTAAAAGTTGTTCGGACGGGTCTCTAAGTCTCGGAGATAGAACGAGTGTGTTCCGAAAATCCAGCCATGGTTCAGGAGAGGCTCAGAGTCTGGGTTGGATCCAAGAGCAGGGTTGGATGGAGGGAGGATGGAGGGATGGAAGGAAGGAGGATATATGGAGAGAGGAGAGGGAGAAGGTTGAGAGGATCTGTGATGGGACGGATAATGAGGAGGAGGAGAGACTACTTGAATTATGGAACTCTGGTCCGTGCTGGGGGATAGAACCAGCTAGGGAGGTTATCCCTTTTAATCTTCCAGATAAAACCAGATAGTCAGATACTAACTGTGATATTCTTTATCTGTATAATTTACATGCAAGAATTTGAATTCATTGTTTTATACTTTATAAGTATTCTTGAAAAATAAATTATAACCTATCTGTTTAATTTCACCCTGTTCAGCCAAAGTTCTTTATTCGAAATGTAAAATAATTTTCCCCAGATATTTTAAGAACAAATAATTTTTACAACCTGTGATCACGATCACCATTGGACTATTTTAACATAATTTTTTTTACTTTTTTCTTTTTTTAATCGTTGTTGGTCAATAAGTTAATTAATTTAATAGCAAAAGTATACGAAAGCAATTTCTTAAGTTTAAAGATTGTGAAAGTAAAGACCAAAACGCAATTGAATTAAAGTTAGAAACCGAGTGCATCTTGTGGTGGTTATATTCCATGGTGTAATAATTATAAGAAATATGAATGTTTTCTGAAAGTTATTCACCTGTTTTTCTTAATAATTTAAAATATGTAAAAAACATGATTTCTACATTTTTTAATATTAGGAAAATGTTCTTATATTGTTAATTTCTAATTTCAAAACAACATTTTTATGTTTATATTCATATATATACAGTGTTTCAATATAAACATGACTTGAAGGTCGGCTTTGATATTAGAAAAAATTTTCGACATTCGTTCGTCGAACTACTTAAAGAAAGTACATGTCTGATTTACAACATTAAGCAATTCTCCTAGTTAAGGCATTTCCAAAATTCGTCTAGATTTTAAATTATTAAATGAATCCAAAATTGTCGTGATTTTAACAACTTTCTTCATACATATTTTAAGCAGAAAAAAAGGCAGACCACGTTTTGAAAATAACAGGACTAGGGAAAATTTGTGAATTTTAACTCTGAATTTTTTTCTACTGTCAAGTTTCGAGGGACACCCTGAATATTATTTTCTACTGTCAAGTTTTGTGGGACACCCTGTTTTCGTAGCGCAGTTCAGTCCTGACAAGTGACAGAGAGGGTTATTTCAATCCCTAAATATGCCAAACAATATTTTTGCCAGATGCCCAATTATAGTAATGGACTAATTAAATGAAGGTAGGGAGGTTAGGATTGAACAACGAGGTAGGGAGGGTAGGATTGAACAACGACTCCTGAACGAACGGAAATTTTTTAAATAAGCGGAAAGTTCCGTTAACGAACAGAGAGAACCAAATTAACGAAAATTTTTGAAAGAACAAAGGGATAATATATTAGATGAAAAAGAAAATAATTTCGTCAATTTTTTTCTAATTTAAAACCAAAACTTTTCATAGGATTTAGGGTGTGTCCCAATAAACACAAGAATTTATAGAGATACATATTGAAAAATATCTATAAATCTAATTTATCAACGATTCAACGATTGGATCTAAATTCAAATGTCTGTTTATGTGTTATAGCTTCACAATTATCGTAAAATTAACAAGTACACGATGTCTGCTTCGGTTAATGAAAACGATTAGTGATAAAAGAAATAATAAAACGAATTTTTTGTTTAAAAAACACACAGTTTCACTTTAAACTAAAGTCAATTTTAAGTGAACCTCCCAGCTTAAAGAAACCTTATTCTGATGAAAATGTAGAAGCTAAAGCGTCGTTTTTTAAAAACAAGCATATTTAATTCATACTTGATCAAACAAAGTTTTTAAGAGTACCGTTGGAAAATGGGCATTATCATCTGTACCTGGGTCACTAGAAATTATGCTTACAGTTCCTATAATATGTATTTATGTTATGTCAAAGACGACTTTTCTGTGCATCTTGAAAATATTATTATGCTTACAGTTCCTATAATCTGTATTTATGTTATGTCAAAGACGACTTTTCTGTGCATCTTGAAAATATTATTATGCTTACAGTTCCTATAATCTGTATTTATGTTATGTCAAAGACGACTTTTTTCTGCATCTTGAAAATATTATGCGAATTATTTATTTAAGATTGATGGAAGGACTAAACATACTACGAAACATGTAAATTTGAATTCTTAAAATTACAAACAATAGAAAATCAGGAATCGTACGTACGTAGGCCTACACCGGGTGCCTCACGAAACATGACAGTAGCAAGACAAATTGAACGTGGTCTTTAATCTTGGAATTTATTTGTGACAATCCGAGTCGTCAACCTACTTGAACGTGTATGCTTCTGGAAACAATAACCACAAAATTCGCCTAGTCCTGGGATTTCCAAAGTGTTGTCGGCCTTTTTTTGTTGTTAATATTACCGGAGATATTAAGTATTTTGATCCGATTTTAATTTTGTTAAATAAAACCAAAAGGATTGAAATCTGAAAGAAATTTTTCATATCTCGGCTAATATTGAAATCACAAAAAAGGCAGACTACATATTAGAAATGTCAGGCTGGTAGTATTTTGTGATTTTCTATCGATATAACTTTACTTGTAATATTGGGGTAACAAATATTAAATACCGCAATTAGATCAAAAATCAAAGACGACGTTAACCTTTTAATTAAAAAAGTACAAGGCTTATCATTTTTATTTAAAGGAACTGAGTTTTTGACACAAACTTAAATTTTCTAAACTCATTATCTTCGCAACCTTATGATTTAAAGCTTTGATATTTCAAACCTAGATTATTGGAGCTAACTGAATTCATAGTTTGAAATACTAAAGATCTACAACATGGGGTTGCAAAATTAAGGGTATTCAAAAATCAGATTTTTTGTGGCAAAAACTCAGTTACTTTAGGCATATTGTTAGGGTCCATTATTTGTTTAAAAAGGAGAAAGTTTGGTTGCTCTAGCGACTAAAATAAATATAGAAAGCTCCAAGTATATCCAACTACACAGTGTAATATGATCTATTCAACTGTATTGAGGGAATATTATCAAATAAACCTTCAAGTGGTTAAATATTTGTAATTGTATCTGGTTACCATGTATAATATCACCAAAGTAAATTGAAAACGCTGGAAGACGACGTTTAGACTCAAGTTATGACTTTAAATAGTCCAATTAACATGAGACACAGCAATTGTGCAGTGCTCGAGACCCATTTCACTTTATCAGTGATTTAATATTTACTACCCTTAATAAAGAATACATCGAAAGAATTCATCAAATGTCGTATTCTTCACTTTTTGATAATGGAATGTTGCAGATATTTAGTTTTTTAATTAAATGATTATATGGAGCTCTTTAAAACTGTTCCCGCATATTCATGGTTATTTAGTTATTTTCGCAAATACTGAAATTTACTTAATATAGTATAAAACTCATTGAAAAATTGTCAAGACATTTGATAAATTCTTCCGATGTATTCGTTATTAAGGGTTTCACTGTAGTAAAACTATTTGCTTTGTAACAACATCAAATAAACTGACTTATTGCTTTAATGTTGTCTATCCAGGGTTGAGCAGGAAAAGCCAAAATTTTAATAAAAGCATAGATTTTCTATTTTCATATTTCATAAGAAGTAAAAACAGAGATCTGAAGATATATTTATAAATATTTTTGGAGATATTATTCAATCAAAAAAGGTCAAAAAATATGTTTCCCACACATTCGTGAAATAAAGGGAAGGGAAGAAACTATCACACAATTTTTGCCGTTTGGCTTTAAGAATTTTTTTACCCCTCCCAAAAAAAAATAAAATAAAATATGAAAAAGATGATCTATTCAGAATAAAGTTTAACGTTTCATAGATCAATGTAAAAAGAAGATGTTTCAGAAATGTTTAAATGATTAAAAATGAAGAAAAATTCTCTCTATACATTGGTCGTCTTTATTTCTCTCCTTAGGAAATCATATTTTTAGAGAATATACATGTGTTCCAAGAATTATGTGGATTTTAATAAAATGTATAGGTCTTTTTCTATTTTCAAACATAACCTAATAACTTCATGAGCTTTCCATGGTCTCTTCTTTTAGATATTTCGACAATATTGATTTTATTTCATAAATTGAAATATGGAAAAATGCAAAATGTGAAATATATAAATAGTTAACAAATTATACAATAAGAGATCATCAAATAAAGAAAATATTTTGGTGGGAAACATCCATAGAAGAAAAAACTTGTTGACAACTTTTATATCTAGAAATTAGGATTTTTAGTTTCTCTGCAGGGTTGACTTGCTACTCTTGCGGCTCAGATTATAATCAGGTTCAAAATATAATATTTTTGTGTTTTTCTTAACCTTATGACTGATCCAGAATTATCAAGAACGAGTTATTCTTATTTTGTAACTGAAAAATTGAGTATTTTAAATGGGGTTTCTCTACAGAGCTACTTACGGTTTTATACTCCAGAATTATTGATAAAACCTTTTCGAAGATAAAAGAACGGCGGTATCTTTTCCATTGTTACTCAGATTGGAGTTTAAAGGTACTGTTGTGGTTGGTAGATCGGGGTTTAAATGTACTGTTGTGGTCCGTAGATTGGGGTTTTAAGGTACTGTTGTGGTCCGTAGAACGGGGTTTAACTCTACTGTTGTGGTCCGTTTATCGGGTTTAACGGTACTGTGGTTCGTAGATTGGGGTTTAAAGGTACTGTTGTGGTCCCTAGATCGGGGTTTAAAGGTACTGTTGTGGTTCGTAGATCGGGGTTTAATGGTACTGTTGTGGTCTGTAGATTGGTGTTTAACGGTACTGTTGTGGTCTGTAGATCGGGGTTTAATGGTACTGTTGTGGGCCGTAGATTGGGGTTTAAAGGTACTGTGGTACGTAGATTGGGGTTTAACGGTACTTTTGTGGTCTGTAGATCGGGGTTTAATGGTACTGTTGTGGGCCGTAGATTGGGGTTTAAAGGTACTGTTGTGGTCCCTAGATCGGGGTTTAAAGGTACTGTTGTGGTCCGTAGATTGGGGTTTAAAGGTACTGTTGTGGTCTGTAGATCGGGGTTTAAAGGTACTGTACGGTACGTAGTTTGGGGTTTAACGGTACTGTTGTGGTCTGTAGATTGGGGTTTAACGGTACTGTGGTCCGTAGATCGGGGTTTAAAGGTACTGTTGTGGTCCGTAGATCGGGGTTTAACGGTACTGTTGTGGGCCGTAGATTGGGGTTTAACGGTACTTTTGTGGTCTGTAGATCGGGTTTAACGGTACTGTTGTGGTCCGTAGATTGGGGTTTAAAGTTACTGTTGTGGTCCGCAGATCAGGGTTTAAAGGTACTGTTGTGGTCCGTAGATCGGGGTTAAAGGTACTGTCGTGGTCTTTAGAACGGGGTTGAACGTACTGTTGTGGACCGTAGATCGGGGTTTAACGGTACTGTTGTGGTCCATAGATCGGGGTTTAAAGGAACTGTTGTGGTCCGTAGATCGGGGTTTAAAGGTACTGTTGTGGTCCGTAGATCGGGGTTTAAAAGTACTGTTGTGGTCCGTAGATCGGGGTTTAAAGGTACTGTTGTGGTCCGTAGATCGGAAATCACAATCTTTTAGTTTAGGACCATTAAATTATGCCTATAGTGACTATAGTACCTTTAAGGATCAGATTTTTTAATTCCTTTATCTTCACAAGATTTAATACAGAGGAATTGCGTATTTTCCACAAACTCGAATTTTTTACCCCTATATCTCTGCAACCTGATGATGCAAGCCTTTGATATTTAAAACTTAGACTATTTGAGCTAACAGAATTCATAGTTTGAAATAGCAAAGATCTACGACATTGATGTTGCAAAGATATAGTGATTACAAAATTGGAGTTAGTGGCAAAAACTCATTTCCTTTGACTTAAAAACTGATATTTGCTAGATAAGCTGTGATAAGTTTCTACCACATGTAAAAGAATTCCAAAAGGAGTGCGATTCATCATATAATAGCTGTGTATACACAAAAGGAGTCTTTCAGGTGCAAATATGAACCTAAGCATAAACATAGTTATTATCATGCATAAACATAAACATAAACATAAACCTGTACTAGGATGTAGAAGTAATGAGCAGAGAGTGTGGGACTGGAGAACCGATGAATTCATGTGGAACTCGAAGTTTAGGTATAAAATATAATGATTGAATAATAGTTGTCTTTATTCTTTGATATACAGGGATCAGACTTCGGAGGAGTACTGTACGTAATTTATTCAGTTTGTTAAGCGAGTATGTTTAGATTTTTGATTGCTAATTATTATTTGCTGCTATGGATTTTAGTCTTTTAGACCTATAGAGCTTAAAATTTGATTAAAAACATTCAGTTGTAAATTTGTTTATTTATTTGCTAAATAAACTAGTTTATCATTTACAAGATTATGTATTCATTGAAGAAAAAAAGCTCAAATCTTTGATAGTTTCAGTGTGTCGTTAAAGTCTTATATATTTGGAATTTTTTAATGAAGATATTTCTAAACGGTCTTAGGGTGCACTTTAAAAATTAAGTCAAATACAAGTTACAAGATAAAATTAACAAAAATGACATCAATTGTTTCGTATATTTCTTGTTTTCAGTTTTTATTTTTAGAACTTTTCTTTACACATCAACGGCCTACTTTGCTAAAAAAAAATAATCAACTTTTGAACATTGAATGAGAGTTACCACAAAAAAAGCTGAAGTCGTTTTGACGTTAACCCTATCCCTGCTGGGGTACTTGAAAACCAGGATAACCCATCCTAGCCGCAGCGCTCGGCCCAGAAAGTGTGGCCGCAGCGCTCGGCCTTCTCTTAACCTAACCTAACCCTAAATAACAAAAAAATAAATAATAATAAAGTTGTTAAGTTGTTATCCATTTTTTTTTACTAACACTGTACAAATTTGTTTACTGAAAAAATCATTATTAATGGTTTCTATATTTATAATTCAATGCAATGAATATTTTTGTCTACAAAACTATGAAAAAAAGGTTATAAACATACATATAAAAACTACATATGGTACTGCTCTGCATTACTCCAAATGTTTAATTGTCATACAATGCTGTCAAGTTCGTCATAAACATATTAAATGAGACTTGGTCGTATGTTTGTAGGACATTCTTCAAATCTTCTCTCCTCTGTACGGTGATTGATTTTCTTGACTTATTAGCATCTGGGCCAAGATTTCCTCGGGCTGCCTGTAGCAGAGACTGTTTTGCCTGAACATTTTATTTACATAGATATTTAATTGACATTTTTTAATAGATATTTAATTGACATATTTACATAGATATTTACTTTATATAGGATATTTTATATTAATTTACCATACTATCCTCTTCCCTAAATCTGTCAATGAGAACCCAAACAGAGGCATTTGCTGGCAGACAACGCTTGAATGCATTATTATATCCCTCACAAAAGTTGTTGGTTGATGGCAAATCCATTAAGACTGAATCATGTTTGTTCCACAGTCCATAATCAAACATTGGTTTCCCACGGGACTTGGTTCTTGGGTTCACCTCTCCAATCCAGGTACGATTAAAGTATAGAAAAAATGATTTTATTTCTTCCAAGTACTCTGCCCAGTTGTTGTTGTTTTTCAAGTTTTCCTTGATAACATTTTGAATCCGGGTTTGGTAGGTTTTAATAAGATCACCTAATGGGATAAGGGACAGAGCCCATAGAGTACGAACCAGTTTGTGGAACTCTTCATCAGAGTCGTGTAAAGGAAGAAGTCCATGGGCTCTAATGTTCTCTCTTAGACACTTTTTCCAATGAAAATCACAACCTATGATTTTTACATCTTCAAATGTATTCTTAAACGCAGATATCAGTCCCTTTTCAAAGTCCATAGTGATGGAATTCAACTTTATATCATCCAGGTCGGCAAAACTGTCTCGAATAACCTCCGCCAATCTAAACCAAAGTACATAGTTTAGAAAAGTGTATATAAGGTACATTTTGTATAAGTTACATTTCATATAAGTTACATTTCATCCAAGGTATATTTCATATAAGTTACATTCCATATAAGTTATATTTCATATAAGTTACATTCCATATAAGTTATAAGTTACATTTCATATAAGTTACATTTCATTCATATATAGTTAAGGTCGTCATTTATGACTTTATAACTTTATAACCTTGTGTAAGTAGATTTTTCTTTATCCGGCAATAAGCAGTAGGCACAAGGTACAGCTTTTCCCAGAGATGTAAGACCGATTATGAAAAAAACCTATAAACAACCATTGTTACTTTTTTAAAATGCTTTTAAGAACAAAGTTTCAAAGTTCATACAAAAGTTGTCTTTTAATTGTTGCTATTTTTTTACCTGAATAAACAAAGGTGCAGGCGCCGACTTGAAGGTTCCATCAACAAACCAGTGCTCGCAGGACGCAAGGGTGTCCCTTCCTTCCCCACTCATGAAGATCATCAAGCGTTTTGCGTCCTCATGGGGGTTTTCTGGGATGGTCTTATCATTGCAGAGTAGGAATTTTGATCCATCCATTGTAGAGGAGAGCTTATCTGTGATGTTGTCAAGGTCTGAGTAGGTTTTAGGAATGGATGGATACCCCTTCTCAGCAACTCTTTTCCTTTGAATTGCACGAGCAATCGTTGAGGATTTCCTAACATAAGCTGCAGCAAAATCCGTCATTTCTTGGTTTACGGTCCCAGTAATATCAGCAAAAACTGCTCTTGGGGCAACTGTAGGCAGGTTTGCAGCAGCCATTATTTTCTCCTGCTCAACAGCTCGAACTTTATTCTTCACAAACCTATTTCCATGGGTATGGTCGGGTTTAACGGACTGAATTATCCCAGATTCATTGATAAGAATGGCTCTAGCATCGCATTTTTCAGCAATCTTATCCCGGCACCTCAAATAGCTTACACCCGTCTTCTTGTTTACACTTGTCTTCTTGTAATGATATCCCTGTTCATCTACAATGATCCTACCACCTTGTTTTGCAGCAATAAATGTTGCCAACCCGACCATTATGGAAGCCAGAATCAGACTAAAGTTTTAAATCTTCAAAAAAGTTTGGCGGATTTTTGTGATTAAAATTGCGAGTTTCCTATGATTTTTATCATTTTGACCCTTTGTCGTTTGACCCTTTGTCGCACTTTTGACCCTTTGTCGTTTGACCCTTTGTCGTTTGACCCTTTGTCGTTTGACCCTATGTCGGTGAATCGATTTTTTGCCAGGAATATACTGTTTTACAATTTTGAAAACTGCATGACTTATTTCCATTGCGAGTTCTCTACAAACGTGACTCACGCATTTCACATTTCTGTTGCAGGGAAACAACATAGAAATTATCATAACTGAACATTTTTAACTTAATTAAACGAAAATATCTTCCACATTAATGCTCAGATAAAGGTTTAAAGGGTACCGTTGTGAATCGGGCATTGCCAACCTTGAATGGAGGGTCACTTAGGCAGTCTGTTAAAAGGATAAAAACCAGACTTTAGACAAGTATTTGGGAAAAGCCTTAGAGCATATGAACACTAACTTTTTAGAGCATATGAACACTATCTTTTTAGTCCAAAAAAACCAGGGTGAATGTTAAACTTCGTCGAATTCAGTGGTTTTTACCAAATAAGGTAATCTTTCACATATATAGGGTTGAATTAATCGTTATTAAAAACAAAACGATCGAAAAAACGACGGTTTTTTTTATAAAAAGCATCTTTAAAAAACAACCGTTTCGTTTTTCGTTTTTCATTTTTTCTTCGTCTTTTTTAAAACGAAACGAGCATTTAAACAAAAAAAAATAAAAATGCTTCATTTCTATCCACATTCTATATACATTATATAAATCTTTTTGGATTATAAAAAATTATTCTGAAAAAAAAGTTTGGCATGTAGAAAAACCAAATGCAATCGTGATCCTCCCCAACTGAGAAAGCTTTAATCTGTAAGAGTTTCGTCTGCTATGTTTACATTTTGATTGTTTATGTTTTGACTGCATACGGTTGTACTTAGTAAAACAAGAAAATTGCAGTATACAAAAAGAGAAAACTTGTCCGTCTTCACTAGCTGTTCATCTTGCAGAGACATTATAGACACATCTTTACAGTCTTTTACCCTTTTCATAAAATAAACTCTAGCAGACATAATAATATTATGGCTTTTGAAATTAGTTATTACAATGCTAATTCATAGCAAAGACGATATACAATTCGTCACTGAATTCCCATGTTTTTTGGGACACCCTGTATGTAAGACAAGGAAAAGCAAGGCCATAATGCAAGGAAAGTTATTTCAGAGGTGTACGCATCTTTTGTACTGCAGTGTACTGTCTCTGGGCGGTACTGTAAACACAAGACGGATGTCGAAGCCTGACATGGATCAATCTTTCACATAAAAAAATCGATGAAATATTCTGGTCATAGGAAACTACTATGTGAAAATTCAAAATTATCAAAATGTAATGCTTTTAACCTCCTCGGATACCAGACGAACACTGATACATCTGTTCTTGTTTACAAATTCCGCCCAGAGAGAACTGGTTTCAATATGTAAGCAGAGTATACGCAACTGCAATTAACTTTTTCTTGCATTATAACCTTGAGGAAGAGGGTCAACTTATTACATATTAACCCTGTGTGTAGAGCCCAGAGCTGTCTCATCAAGAATATATATATTCTTACTCTAACGGTACATATAACCCCACATTTTTCTGAATTTCATTTGACACATATATATAGATCAGTAGCCCAAGAGTTTTCATTCTGAAGTAGAAGAACATAAGCTTTGAAATTCAATCAAATAAGGAGGCGCAACTGCTTTAGGCCTTAAATTGGTCTTTCATGACAAACTGCCTGGACGCCAACTTGTTGTTCTTTGCCAATATCTTCCACTTAAGGATTTTAACGACCATGTTAATACACCTTTTTGGAAATTCTAGGTTGACAAGAAGCAGATTCAGCCACTTCTTTTTATTGGATTGTACGCATGCGTCAGTAGAAAAATGTTTCTTGGAGCCCAAAATTTAAAAGAGTATCGTTGAACGAAACTGCTGAGTTTCCTTTTTGGGGCCTTAACATTCGTGCAGATTTTGATTTAAGGATTCGAAAAAATAGAGAATATAAAGAAACTAAATAAAATAGTATTTCATCACCAAAATATTGGTATCCACAAAACTGCTAACCTAATTCGTAAATCCTGGGTTCCAGATTGGTTTTCATAACGATACCCTGTCTCAAGTTTTGGGCTCAGATGCTTTCATATAAATATTTATGACAAATAAATTAGGCTGTTTATCTGCGTCTGTAATAAGGGTTTGTTCTATATTTAGCATGTCTTAACACTTCTTATATGGGTCACACTGCTGAAAATGAACCATCAGGTTTCAAGTCAAAACACCTAATTTTTTTCGGAGTTATAATCTAAATTTTAAGAAAATGCTACCTGGGGAATTTTAATTAAATCTATATTAAAGAAATTGTAGAAATCAAGTGCATTTTTAAGTCTAAACTCAATCGTAACTGTAGGTTCAAAGATTAATCAAGATTATTCTGTGTTTTTTTTTGCGATATTTTTAGAACCGTTGGTGGCAGGGTCCCCAAATTTTGTGAATTTTCCTAAACAGTCATAAGACATGTATTAGCAAAAAAAGCTTTAAGCGAACTGTATAATTGCCCAATTTCCCTAAAAAAGACTTTTTCAAATAAATCAGTAAAAATTACATCAAAAAAAAACTTACACATGTATCTTAGAAACAGCATCTATATTTGAATTTTTCTGCAGGAAAGCCTACCACTTAGTGTGTTCACCATTTTTACGCACGATGTCTATTAAAGTATTTTGATTGGTAAAAATGTCTCAAAGAAATAATTATTGTTTTACAATAAAAGAAGACGACATTTGCGAGGAAATAACATTTTTTACGTTACCCCCTTCAATCATACATTTTAGAACTAACGCATTTATGTCTGTAAACTATAAATTTAAATGTTTTAAAATTAGTTTTAATGTCTAAAATTGTGTTGAAATAAATAAAACACAGCTAGCATGGGAAGGCTCTCCATGCACGACACCGCCGGTAAGAATCTAATTCTGAAATCCGTAAGGAAAACGAGAAAATCTATTTAATTTGTCCACAAAAGATGTACACAAAATCTCTAATGGTTGACAATCTGCTTTTTATACAGTTACATTTTTTCAAGTTTCAAGGCAAGCATTATTCGTTAAAATCTTTGATTGCAAAGCTAACTGATGACATGTACGTTACATACAGGGTGTCCCACGAAACATAACAGTCGTTGAAGAGTTTTGAATGTCCTCTTCCATATATTATACCGGATGTTAAAGACTTTTTGCATGTCATTTCGTTAAAAACATCTTTTTCTCAGATATATTTTACGTTGAAATCAATTTTACAATAATATAATTGGCATACAATGTTTTTCATCATTCTCTTTAATATCAAACAACTTAACTAATTATGTTTCGTGGGACACCCTGTATGTAACGTACATATCATGTTAATTTTGCATCAAGTTTTTAGATTGGACCAAGGACTGAACCAACTTTTACCGGTCGCAGGGTATTTGTCTTTCGGTTTAAGTTTTGAAGAAGCATATTTGGTAAAGTTCTGATAGACCTTCAATTTAAATAAAATAGTGGCATGTCTGATTCACAATGTTACCACTGTAAAGTATTATTTTAAATCATAAATGTCTTCAAAAACGACTTGGGTTTATCCGCATTAGAAGCAAATGAGGAAATTGTCAGATTAAACTGAAACAACGTGGATTCAATCTTCTTTATTTATCCAAAAAAATGTGCAAAGTGTACTGTTGTGACAGTTCGAGAGTTCCTTAACTATAAAAATATTGCAGGTGGAGGGGCTCGAGCAACTGTTTGCAGCTGTGCAGGGGACATCTGTAATATGAACTTCACATCAGCATCGTCATCCTCTTCAGCGCTGTCATTCATAACAGCTGCTGTTATATCCCTTATTATCGCACGTTAAATTGACATTTGACATGTCTGAAGCATCTTAAGAAAATATTTTTTTTGACATTTGACATGTCTAGTACTTAAAGAAAGTATTTTTTATTTGACATTTGACACGTATAGCATTAAAAGAAAGTATTTTTATTGATATTTGACATGTTTATAGTATTTAAAGAAAGTATTTTTATTGACATTTGACATGTCTATCATTTAAAGAAAGTATTTTTATTGACATTTGACATGTCTAGCATTTAAAGAAAGTATTTTTATGAAGATTTTTCTACAGGGGAGTATCAATGTAATTTCTTGTAAACGAAACCCAATTCACAACGCTACCTTTTAAACCTTTATCTTCTATGTAATCATGATAAATCTTAAAAAAAGATTATTTATTAGCAGATAGAAAAAACATAGGTATTTCCATTTGTTTTACCCAGACAAAGGTTTCAAGGATATAATTGTACCGTTGTCAATTTTCAACTCTTTAAAATGAAAATATGTCGACAGTCCTTTATAAAGTTTTTATTTTTGACAAATTAATTTAAATCAGTTATTTTGTAGTTGGAAACTGCACTGCTTGGAAACCATTATACAGTATGTGCAATGTGATTATCTTAAACTGTATAAACATTATGAAATATAAAAGCAAACAGAGCTGAAAACTTTAGAATAGGATACCCTAAATCCCGATCGGTTAGTTAATCGGGAAATTAATAACAGGAGGAGAACTAGCATTATTTAATCTGGAGATTTAGAAAAAGAGAGGATCAAGCATTAATCCCGATATCCACAATTCAAAAGTTCCCAGCTCAGATAACATACAACTTTTAAATCAGAATATTTTGACCAGAGGTCGGAATTTTTGTATGGATATACTTAATCTCCAATTCGCTTGATTTCGAAATACAAGTATAGGCACTTTTATATTTGAGGATTAACACTTGATCCCGATCAATCAAAGTTATCTCTGCTTGGGTTTGAGAAATCAATGCTTGAAAAGTTTTGACTTATGGATACTAAACCAAAAATTATTAGATCTAAAAAGTTTTGAGCCCTTATTTTTGTATATTTAATAGTTGATTAAATAAATTTAGTTAAATAGATCTATAAATCATTAATAATACGTAATAATAAATTTTGTAAAATTGAAAAGAGAGCATTTTTTATGTACAGTGATAACCAGAAAAGTCTGGAATAGGAAGTCGACTTTTTAGACTCAAGTTATGCCTTTAATTATATTCCAATTAACCTTGAGAGACAGTAATTGTGCAGTGTAATGCAGACCTATTTAACTTAACAAGTGATTCGATAATAGTAAAGCTAATATTTGCTTTGTAACAACATCAAATGCACTTCAGTATTGATAAAAGGTCGTCTTGGCCTATTCTACAGTTATGGCTGCATTTATAAAATGGAGATAATACTAGCGCAATTTCATTATGCATTCTCTCCTTACAAAGGGAAAACAAGTTGAGCCCCGAGCCCCCGATATTTCCTGTATACGCCCCCGTAATCCTGCTTATGATGACGCATAAAAGCGTATTCTGGTATTGCGGTCAGCTTGCAATTTATCTAGGTTAACACTGTCCTGTTCAGCTCACACACAATACATATACTACTCACATAGTTTTATCTATCTATTGAACTATCTATCTATCTATCTATCTATCTATCTATCTATCTATCTATCTATCTATCTATCTATCTATCTATCTATCTATCTATCTATCTATCTATTTATCTGTCTGTCTGTCTATCTATCTATCTATCTATCTATCTATCTATCTATCTATCTGTCTATCTATCTATCTATCTATCTATCTATCTATCTATCTATCTATTTATCTATCTATCTATCTATCTATCTATCTATCTATCTATCTATCTATCTATCTATCTATCTATCTATCTATCTATTTATCTATCTATGTTTTGTGCCGAGCTTTCATTTCTCCGCATGAATATATGTTCTCTAAGTTGTGTGTAGTCTGTACTGTATACTGTTTAATAAACAACTTCCTAATCCTGTGTATCTGTTTTATAATTGCTGCAGCAACAGTGACAACTAGCTCGACGCTTTCCCAGGATCGCTAAACTAATATTATAAAGTGCATGTTGCAGCTACAGTTTTAATCAAAATTACATCTAAAAACGCATACGGTTTGAAGGGACTGTATATGGCATACACATTATTCTCAGTGATTCTTAACTTTTAGAGTGACATATCTGATTCACAAGTTCACAACGGTTTAAATGGTTTAACTGTAGGACAGAAGAAATGATGCACGATACGTCACGATACATACCGACCATCTTTTTTGTGTCTTTTACTCTTAAACCCTTCGGACTTTCTTGCTTATTTATTAAAAATCAATTTAAAAAAATCAATATTCTTTGAGTTTTCTCTTTTTTGATGAGAATCAATATAAAAATACAAATTTAAAAAAAATAATGGCAAAAGGATTTCTCTAAGACTTTATTTGGAGAAAATTTCAAAAGGGAACTCCTATTGGTCACAGGACTTTCTATGGCAGGTAGAAAATCCGGGAGATTGTACCCGTTCCAGTGTACACTTTCAACTCAAAGGTTCAGTTCAATTATAATTGTTTTCTTATTTCAAATACGTGTTTGAAAGGATATGTTAATATACCAGTGAAACGGTTATTACAGTGCAGTGATTTTAGACGATGTAATTCAATAATATATATTTGTTTATGATAAGAATTTCTAGTTCACAATTGTTTTCATATCAAGGGTTTGTGTTTACAGATATGATATTGTTGATAGCATAGCCTCAAATACATTTTAATTCTGGCCGTTTGTAAGGAGGTTGCATTGCAATATCCCTTTTTATTCTGTGTGCTCATAAGTTTAGTAGTAAATAATTTGAACTTGAACAAAGTTTAATACCTCTGTGGTAAATGCCCTACTCCATAAAAGTCTTTCAGACCCGTTTCAATCCAGGTGCAACTCAATCAGGAACTCACGGTTCCATGAATACACTACCAATGTCAATCCAGACACAACTTTTTGGATACCAATAATCGTTCCCTCCTGTTATGGTTGATGAGGCATGAGAGCTTTTCAGTTCAGTAATACTTTACTTTCAATGTCAGTCTGGACATGACTTTATCTGTATCGATACTCGTTCCCTCTCGTTACGATTGACAAGGCATAAGAGCTATTCAGTTCAGTAATACTTTACTATCAATGTCAATCGGGACATGACTTTATTTGTAACGATACGTGTTCCCTCTCGTTATGGTTGCCAAGACATAAAAGCTATTTAGTTCAGTTTAGTTTCGTTTAGTATCCGAGGAGGTTAAAAGCATTTAATTTTGATATTTTGATAATTCACATAATAGTTTCCTATGACCAGAATATTTCATAGACTATTTTGTGAGAATGGATTCCGTGTCAGGCTGTGACATCCGTCTTGTCTTTACTTTTCCGCCCAAAGACAGTACACTGCAGTACAAAAAATGCGTACACCTCTGAAATAACTTTCCTTGCATTATTACCTTAATCATGAAAGGGTTTTATGTAGCTTTTTACAAACGTAGATAACAATATACAACGCAGATCAGGTTTACAGAATAAGGTTACAAGTTACAACGACATTTTTTACACCCCTTTCCCCTCCCCCCTTTCAGCTCCTTCCCCACCCCCTTCTCTCCCTCCCCTCCTACCCCGGCAGTCTGCTACCTGCAGTACCTGAGAATATCTGGAGGTTTACTATATTCTTTAGTTCTCCCGGCTCCGTAGTTCCCGAAGCTTGTGACAAGTTTATCCAAGTCTATGTAGTCTCCGGAGCTAGAAACTAAGTTTTTCAGTAGACTATGTTCTTTAGCTATTGGAGCTATTGACAAAACTCTTTAATTCTCTGTAGTCCCCGCAGCTATAAACAGGGTTCTTCAGTTCTCTGTAGTCCCCGGAGCTAGAAACAAGTTTCCCCAGTTCTCTGTAGTCCCCGGAGCTAGAAACAAGTTTCTTCAGTTCTCTGTAGTCCCCGGAGCTAGAAACAAGTTTCTTCAATTCTCTGTAGTCCCCGGAGCTAGAAACAAGTTTCTTCAGTTCTCTGTAGTCCCCGGAGCTAGAATTAAGTTTGTTCAGTTCTCTGTAGTCCCCGGAGCTAGAAACAAGTTTCTTCAGTTCTCTGTAGTTCCCGGAGCTAGAAACAAGTTTCTTCAATTCTCTGTAGTCCCCGGAGCTAGAAACAAGTTTCTTCAGTTCTCTGTAGTCCCCGAAGCTAGAAACTAGGTTCTTTAGTTCTCTGTAGTCCCTGGAGCTTGAAACTATGTTCTTCAGATCTCTGAAGTTCCGGGAGGTTATAATAACTAGGTTCTTCAGTTCTCTGTAGTCCCCGGAGCTAGAAACAAGTTTCTTCAGTTCTCTGTAGTCCCCGGAGCTAGAAACAAGTTTCTTCAGTTCTCTGTTGTCCCCGTAGATAGAAACAAGTTTTCCCAGTTCTCTGTTGTCCCCGGAGCTAGAAACAAGTTTCACCAGTTCTCTGTAGTCCCCGGAGCTAGAAACAAGTTTCTTCAGTTCTCTGTAGTCCCCGTAGATAGAAACTATGCTCTTCAGAACAGTCCCCAGAACTAGAATTTGGTTCTCTAGTTCTCTGTTGTGTCCGGAGTTAGAAACTAGGTTCTTCCATTCTCTGTAGTCCCCGGAGCTAGAAACTAGGTTCTCTAATTCCCGGAGCTTAAGACAAAGTTCTTCAGTTTTGTGTAGTGCCCGGCGCTAGAAACTAGGTTCTCTAGCTCTTTAAATTAGGGACAAAAATCTTCAGTTCTATGTAGTCCCCGGAGCTTGAACCTAGGGTTTCTAGTTCCTGGAGCTTGTGACAAAGTTCTTCAGTTATCTATTGTTTTATGACGAAAATTCTATACTAGGAAAATACCAACATTTTTAGGCGTAAGTAGAGAAAGCGAGAGGGACAATGTAGCCATTTTTGTTTGATTTATTTTAAGCAATTTTTTTTCGCCACTAATGGCCCCGGCCATAGTAATCACTAATTTAATAAATTCCAGGGGGGGGGGGGGGGGGGGGAGGCTGAATCTATGTAAGAAAGTCACAGGAAAAAAAACTTAGAAATGAAAACGTTGGTAAAAAAGTCCCAATTTTCTGAAGTCCTAGAGGACCAAAGAACACTGGAAATAAAATCTCAGATTCCTGGGAATTTATTCCTAAAATAGTATGGCTGTGAATAAAGTCTCAGAAAATAAGATCACAGGAATTCAAGTCCTGGAGGAAATAAATCCGAAGGAAAAAAAACCAAGAGAAAAGGTCCTAAGTCTTGGGGAAATGAGGTTAAGTCTGAGACGTTTTATAAAAAGGACTTTTCTTTTATGCATATGCATATATTGAATATAGCCATGGGCTGGTATCAAAAAAGTCCTAGAAAATAAAGTATTAAAATGGAAGAACTTTATTTCCAGAAACTTTTTATTCAAGGACTTGATTTTACCAAGACTTTTTCAGTGCCAAAATTTAAGACTTTATTTACGAAAACTTTTTCAGAGAATTTTTTTTTGGCGGTTGCCGGGGGGTGGGGGACTACATGAAACTTCCCAATCCCCTTTTTTATTATTGGGGAACCTTTCCATTTAAGTGGAAGAAAGAGAAACTTTGTATTGCCTGCTTATTATATATCTTTTTAACATGACATTACATTAAAGTATTTGAACATGATTGCTTAGTTCAATGACAAAAGTTTTTTAGGTCATGGTTGAGAAGGGGGGGGAATGGTTACTTGAGGGGGGGGGGCGAAAGGAGTTAGGAGGAGGAGAAAAACCTTAAACTTACTGGCGTTAGAAAAAATGTTTTCGAATTACTAATTCATATATCTTTGCGATCTAATAGTGTAAACCTTTAATATTTCTCAAGGAAATTGTGTCGTTGCGACAGACTCACATTTTCTAATCACTATATCTTTGCAACCTGATGGTGTAAACCTTTGATATTTCAAACTTTCATTTTTATTAGACCAAATAATCTAAAATAATAAACTAAAATTACTAAAATTTAACCATCTTATTTTTTTTCAGGGCTGTGTTGCCATTAAATGTAAAGAATGTAGATAGTAAATGAGAAAACTGAAATATAGTCATGTTTTTGTTCTTCCGATTCCTGGGAATACTTCTACGCAAAAAGTTGGCGTTTTGGGGTAAGACATTCTTTTCACTCAATTCCTTAAAATTCAGCTAATATTAAAAAGGTCGGAAGGTTTTTTTTTAATCAAAAATAAATTTATTTGGATACTTGTTTTTTATTTCAAATCTTCTGGAAGATTATTAAAATGGAATAAACGTTCACGCTTCAGATTCCAACAAAAATACTTATTTTTTTTAACAAAACTTGAATTTTGCAATTCACATACAAAATCATATTTTCCGTTCATTTGATGCCGATAGTTCTTCTCCAAAGAAAATTATAATTTACAAATTCAAGATTGCTTCAAATGATATTTTTTTTTTGCACTACACTGGCGCGGTTAATGAGGGCTGGGGGGTGGGGGAGATTCGAAAATAAAATGATAAATTATTATTTTATAAAGGTCTGTTAACTGGTTTAGTCCTCTTCATATTCTGCTTCTACACAAATAGTATCATCAAACATACAAGGTCAGATTTTAATCATTTCCGATCAATTTACGATCTGTAATTTCCGATCAACGAACGATCTGTAAATTCCGATCAAAGTACGATTTGTAATTTCCGATCAAAGTACGATCTGTAATTTCCGATCAAAGTACGATCTGTAATTTCCGATCAAAGTACGATCTGTAATTTCCGATCAAAGTACGATCTGTAATTTTCGATCAAAGAACGATCTGTAATTTCTGATCAAAGAACGATCTGTAATTTCCGATCAAAGTACGATCTGTAATTTCTGATCAAAGAACGATCTATAATTTCCGATCAAAGTACGATCTGTAATTTCCGACCAAAGTACGATCTGTAATTTCCGATCAAAGTACGATCTGTAATTTCCGACCAAAGTAAGATCTGTAATTTCCGATCAAAGTACGATCTGAAATGTAGTTTCTGATTCTTCATGATGCAGGAAAGTATTTTAAGATTGTGTTTTCTAAAAGTTTGCTTTAATTACATTATGCAAAATGTGTCTCGGACAGAGGAAAACTGGTCTGAGAGAATCATTTACATAATTTCAGGTCTTTTTCTTTTGTGAGAATAGATACCATGAATATTAAAATATTAAAATTGTTAATACAATTTTCAACTCAGTAAAGAGACTGCCGACGAAATTTGAGAGTGATATGTCCGATTAACTTATTAACATTTCATCGGAGCAAAATTGATTGAGATATCATTGTTTTTCTATTTAAAATTTGAATAATTCCCCATGTGTTTTCTCTGTAAAAGTGACTTGCGGAGTAATGTAGCAGAAACAAAAATCCAAAGAATCAGAATTAAACACTTTTTAGGATAGAATTACTAAGATGAATGTAGAAATGTTATTATCGGGCATTCAACTCTTTAATTGGTGCAGAGGCGTCACTTGAAATTTCGTCAACTGTCCCGTTAATATAAAAACTTTAAGAATACAAAACTCGTATGAATTGATTGTTACTAGTGAACAATTATTGATATATTGCCATGCCTTTAAAAGAGTGTCTAATTTAAAAACATAATCAATTAACGGGACTGTAAGCGTTATTTGAAATAACCCTCCATTCAAAGTTGACAATGCCGAATTTACATCAGTGCCCTTAAAAGCTTTGTCTGATCAAGTATGAATTAGATATTAATGTTAATAGTTCTTAGAGCGGATTATTTTTAATTGTGGTTTCTTTTGGGCATTTCTATACTGCAGGAAAATATATTGAAATTATTAGAATTAAACACTTTTGCCTTGAAAAAACAACAATATCTTTTACTTTATTGATCAGATAGAGGTTTAAGGGTACCGTTGTCAATCGGGCACTGTCATTTTTACGCAGAGGGTCCCTTTAAAATTACGTTTACACTCCCTTTAAGCGTACACTTGGTACGTTACCTACAGGTTGTTCCACGAAACATGACAGTTGGTGAAAAGTTTAAAATTTCTTCTTCCATAGTTTGTTTAGTTGTTTGAACCCCAAGGAATAAATAATATAGAAATTTTCACGCCAGCAATATTATAGTAAAATTGATTTCAAAGTAAAATATATTTGAGTAAAAGATTTTTTAATCTAAATAAACTTCAAAAAGTCTACAATATCTAATACAGTATATGGAAGAAGACATTCAAAACTATTTACACACTGTCATGTTTCGCGGGACACCCTGTATATAAAACTTGCATAAATTTCGTTTTCTTAAAAGCCGTTCAACCTCTTTATTTTCGAAAAAAATATCTCATTTCTTAGTTAATTCTCCCTCTAGTCCTATGAATTTTATTTTGTTTTCATCACTTTCATGGATCTAATTAATATTTTTGAGGCACATTCCAAAAGACGTATGTATAAGACATTTTAATGTAAAAAAAAGAATATTTCCCCGAATGATTAGGCCAATTATTATTATTAAAAAATACGAACTGTTCAGTAAAAAAGGGTTTTTTGTCAATCCTCTGGATTTATCATAAACAATTATAGAATTATTAATCATTATCATTTAATTACGCAATTTCCGGTGCTAAACATTTAATTGCTTGTTTTTCATATTTTTTTAATGACTAGATATCACTAATTTAACTTAAGTTTTTTTCCATTTTGGAGTAAAAAAAATATACATTTTGGAAAAAATTGTTTGGGATATAAACTTTAAATATTGTTCCAGATACATTGTAAGCAAATCAGAACTGTATAAAAGATTACTTAAACTGAATAAAAAATATCTAAATCTAAAAATATTATGAATTTCTGGTTTTTACTTATTTATTTTATTTTTCTAGAGAGTCAAGCCCCGAGCATTATGTTGGAGTTCATAAACGTCTCCAGCAATCCAACGATATTGATGTTGATCCAGTTCAATTCATTCCTGGTGTTCCAGGACTATCAAGGTTTAACTTTTATTCGGGTCTTCAGGGGGTTAGGATTTGAGTACATTTTACTCAGAGGTGTAGAGCAGGGGGGGGGGCAATGGGACTAAGCTCCCCCCCTTTAAATTAAATTAAATCAGATCAGACAGAGTTCAATTGTTTGGTAACAAAAGGGACAGTTTAAGATGAAAGTTAGTATTTTGTCTTTGTAAAAGAATTTATATATATATTTTTTTAGATCTGCGCGCAAACTAGTTCCAAACCAACAAGATGTCAGAAATTCAAGACAAAATATCTTCCAGGTGGGACAAGCATTTTCTAAAATTCTAATGATTTTAGAAATATTTTTGGGGGATTTTCTTGACACTAAAGCTTTTGGTTGTTACACGCATTGTTTGCACAATTTTGCAAAGAATTTTTTATAGCTTTTTTTGCACAGACGGCTTGAAAGGAAATTTGCACATTTTAAGTTTTTCTTTAATACATATTTAGGGCTTAAAAATTTTAGAAATATTTTTGCATATTGAAATTTGCTTGGCCACGGGCTTTTCAAAAATGTATATTTTGCTATATTTCGAGCATTTGTTGGTGCACATTTGTGCTAAAAACCTTGATTTCGTTATTAATATTTAGATTTGTTCAAAATGTATAAAATATTACGCCATTATAGGAAAATGGTTAATTTTCTACCTTTTCCAGGAGGAGGCTTTAAAGCATAGTTACAATGGTGACCAAGCTGTTGAGACTGTAGAGAAGGGTAGAGAGGTGTTTTCACCTCAGGGAATTAACATCCAAAGCATATTTTAGTTTCTAATTATTAGATATCATCATAATTTTATTCCGCGGCCATTATCCCTTCCCGAAAAATGTATTTACTCTCCAATAAAGTAAAGTTTTGCGATACAACATGTAAGAAATTGTTATCGCTGTATCTTAATCCCGGTAAAAAAAATGTTTTAGGACTAAAAAGGCGTTTGCGTAGCCTTGTTTAGGGCTGGGCACGTTCCAACTTTTTCTAACCGTTTCGTTAACGACTAGTAAAAATATTATTATTATTTGTAGTAAAGCTTTCTTAGGTTAAACTGATTTTGAGAAGTAATTTCATTGTGCAGTGAAACGGATTAAATTAATCCTTCTGGGTTATCCAGTGTTTTTACCCGGAAATGACTACAATTATTCCTCACAGCTATAGCTGTTACAGATGTTCTAGATTAGCGCAATTTGACCTGTGAACTACCTTCACACAAAACTAGAAAATAAAAATTTTAAAAAGGGGAAATAATAGATCAAATTAAAAAAATACGTTTAAACGTGAACAATGTAAATGCAATGGATAGGACTAGGCGTCATTCCTGGGGAACGATCGTTCCTTACAAGAGCTTTATAAATATGTAAGATAGATCTGTAGCTCAAAAAATAAAAAAAATAATGGACTTTTTTGCTTATGAACACAAATAACGAAACGTAATGGAACGGGGATGGAACGATTTGAGAAAGAACCAACGATTTAGTTCTGACACGAGGAACGAACGATTAAAAAAAATAGGAACACAAGATAGTTGTATATAAAGTATTTATTTTCAAACACAAAATACAAAATAATTATGTATGATGCTTCAGCTAAAAACAAAACACAAAAGAAAATTTAATATGAGCCAATTGAAAATTTAATGTTTAATAATTTTGTTCTGATCGGTATTTGTTGAAACAGACTATTCATATTGAAATCTCAACTGAATATACATTCATTGTACATTTACAAGTAGACACTTAGTCAGCACTCAAATAATCAAAACATTTCTATTGTTTAACTAGACCACTTCCTGGCAGGTTAAACCTGAATTATGTTTGTAGGAAAAATCAGAGCTAAAACCTTTAGAATGAGATATCCTTAATCCCAATTACTTAATCTTAGCATCCAATGGACACCAATGGACATACTTATGATTTTATTCTTTAACCGTTCTTAATTGGATATAGTAGAGAAAAATCAAAAACCGGTTTTTTAATTTATACAGTTCCTCCTGTTTCTGTATATAATCTTAAATGGCACGCAAAATTTCAAATTTATCGGCTTCATATATGCGACTGTGATTGGTTGAACTTTATACACTTTTCAGAATACAATTACAAGATTAAGTTAGTCTCAATATTAAGAAAAGAGAGGATCAAGCATTAATCTCAATANTCTAGGATTTGTGTATGGATGTAAATTATAGAGCAGTGATGGAGAAGACAATGTTGAATTTTCTAACAATCAAATCCAGTTTAACGCTTACGGGAAAAATCCAGGTAAAAGTAATTTAAAATTATTATTTTTTTTCAGATAACATGATAGGCATTTTTTTATTTTATATGTTTTTAATTTTTATACGCACAGTGGTTATCTAAATAAGCCGGAATTTACCTTAGAAAGAGTTTCTGGTTTTTCCCAACGTCTCATTTACCTTAAAAAGAGTTTCTGGCATTCATTGTTGTGAAACCTAATTTTAGAAATATTTTTTATGAAACAAAACTTACAAAAAAGCCCTAGTCCTGCCATTTCCAAAATGTGGTTCGACATTTTTGGTATTTTATTATTGGTATTGGTATTATTGCCGCAAATTTTTTCTAATGTCAAAGACGACTTGAAATATTCAATCAATCAATATCACTGTAGAGTTTAATTTTAGGGTATATTGAGATTGGGAAAAATAGTAGAAATGACCCACCTGTATATTTTAATCAGGTATGTTTTGACAATAAGAATAAATACATACTTTTATTTGTCTTCACTAAAGAGGCTGTAGACGTAATTTCAAATGACTTAATAGGCGGGCATTTTCAATTCACAACGGGAGATGTCGTCTTAGTTCCATCTTTAAAAATGGCTGACTTTGCTAATTACAAGTTCTTTGTCTAAGCTACACAAAATCCGCAGTGCACCTTGATAAAGAAATAACATCTAGTAATTATCAAATATGTTTTTTATAAGCGAGTTGTACAGGGAATATAATGTTTGAACGAATACTGTTGGGAATCAAGGATGCAGCTCTTGAAATTATCGATGTTTTGAACAAAATTTACAAAAATTTTATTTTGTTCAGATTTTAGGCCGAAACAAAATAAAAAAGTGATTTAAAAAAAATATTCAAAAATATTTTTAAAAACATTGAAAAAAAAGCGAAACCAATTTGTTGTATACAAATTATACTTTTTTAAAAATTGTTGAGAAAATGTATATTTTATTGTTTTCTAAAATTTCATAAAAGTTCATCAAATATTGAATGAGATATAACAAAAATATAACAAAAATGTCAGCCAATTATTTGTATTTTTACTATGAAAAGGTTAAAACCTTTTATTTATGCCTAAAGTCAGAACAAAAAACATGATTTTAAAAATTTTGTCCATAACTTCTATAATCCCTGTTTGTTGCTTTGACTCACCCTGTATGAATATGTATATTGTCCACACAGCAAAAATATGTTATCCTCATCTACTAATAAACTAACTTAATTATTTAGGCTGATGTGAATCTAGATGGATATCAGAATCAACAAGGTTAATAGATAAAAAATATTTTTTGTCAATTTAGTTCAGCTTTTTACCTTTCTCGAATATACTTCGTTTTAAGTGACTTATTCGTTGTAGTTAAAAAATAATTTAATTTTTTTGGAAGACATTTACAATTATCTTTAGTGTTTTAAAAGTCCACGGGGCAACGCCTTCGAAATTATGAACCAAATGTTAGAAATATCTAACTAATTTTAAGATTCATTGCTTTGTTCGTAATTTCGATTAAATGTTCTTAATTTCGAAAAAGAGTACAGTGAGTACCAGAACACTGTGAACTAGGAAGACGTCATCGATTTAATAATCATGTGTATTTGATTTTTTTGTAAAGCAAATATACCAGTACAGTAGCTTTAAAATCTATTTGTTTACTAAAATGGCTCTGAACAGAACAATTGCTGTATTTCATGATAATTGGACTATTTAAAGTAAAAGACTAAAAGTCGTTTTTCTATTCCAGAGTTTTCTGGTTCTCAGTGTTGTTCAATATACCAAACATTATGCTAGCTAGGGTTTTCTTTTAAGGAAGTTGAACTGAGTATGCAGTGTTGTGGACAAATTCTTTAGGATTCATTTGAGACTTTTTAAAGATCTGTAAATCCTGAGTTTGAGCGCAAATTCGACGTTCAAAATCGTACTTTTGGATGGATACGTTTTCAGAATCGTTTTTTTAAATTACTAAATAACAACGACGAAAAATAAAGTAAAAATTACAGAATCAAATTAGATGGTTAGGAACATATTTCTCAAAAGAAATTTGTCCATAAATCAATGCTAGAACTAATTATGTCGTTTTCATCTTATTGAATTTCTAAGGTTCTTTGCATTTATTTGTAGATTTATTCAAATTCTTCAAATGTCGTCTTTTCAATAATAATTTCAGAAAATCTGCAGAAAATCTTTGTCAATAATGAGAAACTAGAGTTATGAGAAAATAGAAACTAATAATTAAGCAAGATTTCTTATTTTCGATGATAAGATTAATTTTTATTTTCTCAACATGTTCCTATACATGACATCTGCAGTTTATTGTAGAACTTTTTACATTTTATGTCGTCGTTATTTAATAATTTAAAGAAACAATTCTGAAAACCGCCCAGTCGACTTTGCGCTCAAACTCAGGATTAACAGATCTTTAAAAAATTTTATATGTCTCAAATAAATCCTAAAGAATTTGTCCACAACACTGCATACTCTTATATAGCATATCTTACATAGCCGGTCTGTCCCTTTAACAGTGCAAATTCATATAAAAATTCAATAAAAAAGTTTGTACAAACCTTTAATTAAACAAATTTCTGATCAAAACTATTACACATACCCTTTTCTTGAAAATGATTAAGACTCCCTTTTTTGATATATTTTGTGTTAAAGGTGGGTTTGCATCTAGTTCTGAACCTTATATACCGGAGCAGAGGATAGTTCATCTAGATTTCAAGGTATTTCTCACGTCAAACTAAAGTAGATTTCAAGGTATTTCTCACGTCAAACTAAACTAGATTTTAAGGTATATTTTACGTCGAACTAAACTAGATTTCAAGATATAGCTCACGTCATACTAAACTAGATTTCAAGGTATATCTCACGTCAAACTAAACTAGATTTCAAGATATATCTCACGTCAAACTAAACTAGATTTTAAGGTATATTTTACGTCGAACTAAACTAGATTTCAAGATATAGCTCACGTCATACTAAACTAGATTTCAAGGTATAGCCCACGTCAAACTTAACTAGATTTCAAGATATAATTCACGTCAAACTAAACTAGATTTCAAGATATATCTCACGTCAAACTAATCTAGATTTCAAGATATATCTCACGTCAAACTAATCTAGATTTAAAGATATATCTCACGTCAAACTAAACTAGATTTCAAGATATATCTCAAGTCAAACTAAACTAGAGTTCAAGATATAGTTCACGTCAAACTAAACTAGATTTCAAGATATGGCTTACGTCAAACTAAACTAGATTTCAAGATATATCTCAAGTCACACTAAACTAGATTTCAAGGTATAGCTTACGTCAAACTTAACTATATTTCAAGTTATACCTCACGTCAAACTTAACTATATTTCAAGTTATACCTCACGTCAAACTAAACTAGATTTCAAGATATAGCTTACGTCAAACTTAAATATATTTCAAGTTATACCTCACGTCAAACTTAACTAGATTTCAAGATATAGCTCACGTCATACTAAACTAGATTTCAAGGTATACCTCACGTCAAACTTAACTATATTTCAAGTTATACCTCACGTCAAACTTAAATAAATTGCATGTCAAATTGAAATTTCACTAATTAAAAGGATGCTGGGTCTTGCTGGCACTGCACAAACATATTTTAATTATCACGTGATCCTGTTGTTCAGGGAGCTCCATCTAGTGTATCCTGTTGTTCAGGGAGCTCCACCTATTGTTTCCTATTGTTCAGGGAGCTCTACCTAGTGTATCCTATTGTTTAGGGAGCTCCATCTAGTGTATACTATTGTTCAGGGAGCTCTATCTAGTGTATCCTATTGTTCAGGGAGCTCCACATAGTGTATCCTATTGTTCAGGGAGCTTCACCTAGTGTATCCTAATGTTTAGGGAGGTCCACCAAGTGTATCCTATTGTTTAGGAAGCTCCATCTAGTGTATACTATTGTTTAGGGAGCTTTAACTGCTGTATCCTATTGTTCATGGAGCTCCACCTAGTGTATCCTATTGTTCAGGGATCTCCACCTAGTGTATACTATTGTTCAGGGAGCTTCACCTAGTGTATCCTATTGTTTAGGGAGCTTCACCTAGTGTAACCTATTGTTCAGGTAGCTCCACCTTGTGTATACTATTGTTTAGGGAGCTTCACCTAGTGTATCCTATTGTTCAGGGAGCTCCACCTAGTGTATACTATTGTTCAGGGAGCTTCACCTAGTGTATCCTATTGTTTAGGGAGCTTCACCTAGTGTATCCTATTGTTTAGGGAGCTTCACCTAGCGTATCCTATTGTTTAGGGAGCTTCACTTAGTGTATCCTATTGTTCGGGATCTCCTCCTAGTGTATCCTATTGTTTATGGAGCTCCGCCTAGTGTATCCTATTGTTCAGGGAGCTTCACCTAGTGTATACTATTGTTCAGGGAGCTCCACCTAGTGTATCCTATTGTTTAGGGAGCTTCACCTAGTGTATCCTATTGTTTAGGGAGCTTCACCTAGTGTATCCTATTGTTCAGTGAGCTTCACTTAGTGTATCCTATTGTTCGGGATTTCCACCTAGCGTATCCTATTTTTTAGGGAGCTCCGCCTAGTGTATCCTATTGTTCAGGCAGCTTCACCTAGTGTATACTATTGTTCAGGGAGCTCCACCTAGTGTATCCTATTGTTTAGGGAGCTTCACCTAGTGTATCCTATTGTTTAGGGGGCTTCACCTAGTGTATCCTATTGTTCAAGAAGCTTCACTTAGTGTATCCTATTGTTTGGGATCTCCACCTAGTGTATCCTATTGTTTAGGGAGCTCCACCTAGTGATTACATTGTTCAGGGAGCTTCACCTAGTATATCCTAGTGTTTACTGAGCTTGCACCTAGTGTATCCTATTGTTCAGAGAGCTCCTCCTAGTGTATCCCATTGTTTAGGGAGCTTTACCTAGTGTATCCTATTGTTTAGGGAGCTCCACCTGTGTACCCACTCTTCCTAATGTATCCTATTGTTTAGGGAGCTCCACCTAGTGTATCCTACTTGAAGCAGATCCTTCCAATGGTTAAAGATCTCGGAGCTACTGGAATACTATGGGAGTGGGAGGATACCTTCCCGTTCACGGGCAGGTTTGACAACTTACTTTAATACTATGTCTGTCTGTCTATTCTTTAAATTCTATACAAAAAAAAAACGTTCAAACGGCTGAACCGATCGGGCATAATTATCACATGACCCCATGGCATGTCTATGGACGATCAAATTGAAAAATTCCAGAAAATATTGTTGGTATTTCTCATCAATTTAAACTAAAATAATCTGCAAAATTTGAGAAATTAATAATGGCTACTTTAATAGATTCAAGTATTACTGCGGATGGAATATGAAAGCACGCAATTATCTGTTAGAAAAATATAATGATTTTATTTTCAATGAGACGAAGGTTTTATGGGTACCGTTGTGAATCTGACATGCCAGACTACAAATTTAGTCTATAATCCCCATACATATCTCCAGATCTCCAGATTTTATATTTTAGTTTTATGCAAATTAAAAACGTTTTTATTTATTTCAAGGTTGAAAAAACTTTTAAGATTACTTTAAACGAATGTCAAAAACTTGGCCTTAGCCAGGCTCTTACCCTTTTATCCCAAATGTATGGATGAACAACAATATTTCTCAAATGCAACATTAACTTTCAGCTTCAAAACGTGTATTGCGGGCCGCCTAACTAAGACAAAATGCAAAAATTAAATTAGGAAGCCTGTTGCAGTAAACTATTGTTATATAATCATAAAAGTATTATTGTTATATAATCATAAAACATTATTGTTATATAATTATAAAACATTATTGTTATATTATTATAGAAACATTATTGTTATATAATTATAAAAAACATTATTGTTATATAATTATAAAAAACATTATTGTTATATAATTATAAAAAACATTATTGTTATATAATTATAAATATTATTATTGTATTATTGTAATGTGATTATCATACCGCAAGGGACAACGAGGATAAAGACAAGTTAAAATAATTGCTGTATGATCAAATATTACTGCAACAAAGTGTGAATTCAGAAATCAACTAAAATATATTTTAAAATCCGCAAATTCAGTTTTTTCTATCCATTACTTTAGAGCAATTTGATTTATGTAAAAAAAAACAATTATTTCACAATGCCAACTCGACCTGGAAACAAAAGTTCCAGAGTCGTAAATTCTCTTCTTTTTCCCAAGAGTGCACATTCTTTATCTTTCAATATGGCAAGCTTCAAAGTTGATTATGACTTCAAACATTTGGTATTTAAAGTTAAGCATTTTTTGTTTTCTCTGTGTTCTATTGTACACTCAATAACAATGTAAAAAGGTTCATGCATTTTTTAGTATATTTTTATTATTATTATTATGATCTGTTTAGATTAGCTGCAGTGTCCACCTCAAACCATTATACAGTAGAGGAGGTCAAGGTAAAATATTATTATTATTATTATTATTATTATCAATATAATAAAACAAGGCATTCGTATAAAATATATGTTATCTATAGCCGGCCAAACGGCTGGACCGATTACGTTGAAATATATAGATCAGGTAAACAATTACAAGAATATATAGATCAGGTAAACAATTACAAGAATATATAGATCAGGTAAACAATTACAAGAATATATATAGATCAGGTAAACAATTACAAGTTAATGGAGTCGTATATTTTTCAACCATACCGCTTCTTATGAAGAGATATTGAAAAAAGCAAAAATAATTTGAATTTCTAATATGTAAAACAAGCTGAAAGGAATTGAGTCTTTGTCACACTCTCTGATTTTCTAATCCCTATATCTTTGCAACCCAAAGTCTTAAATCTTAGATATTTCAAACTATAAATGTTTTTAGGAAACTAAAAAATCTAAGTTTGAAATATCAAAGATTTACACCATCAGATTGCTAAGATATTGGCATTCGAAAATTTGAGTTTGTGGCAAAGACTCAATTCCTTTTCACTGGAAAAGGTTTTCTGAGAGCCTTGAACCCTAAAAATAAATTTGGCATCCCTGTGGTAATCCAATAAACATCCAAACAACTTAACCGATTGATTCCAACTTTTCTGTGGTAACTCCCCATGCCTCCAGGATTGATCATAGTTGTAAATATAGACTGGAAAATAAAGTCGACATTTAATATTTTAAAAATACTACAAATAAAGCAGAAAAACCCTAGAAAATATTTTTAAAAAATCACGACTTGAAATGCAACAGTCAAATTCTAAAATGGATAGAGGGGCGTGAAGCGCCCTAAATATACTATTTGATTTAAGACCTAATTTAGGTGATGAAACTGCATACTGGAGCTAAATACGTCCATATTGGGTGTGACGAAGTTTATCATCTAGGAACATGTGAACCTTGTTTAGATCAATCCAGGTCAGCAATACTTTTTTTTACATTTTGAAGAATGATTCATAAAAATTGTGATTTTGAAATAAGAAGCACAACTGTTCTATCCTACTGCTTAAAGATATATCCTGAGTAATCAATATTTTCTGTCAAAGTAATTTTGTAGATAAACTAGTTTTCTTTCCCATAATTCAGATTTTCATATCTTTGCAAACCAATATCAAATAGTTTTCTTGTAAAGGAATCGAGTCTTTGCCATAAAATCAGATTTTCTAATACCTAAATCTTTGTTAAATAATCTTAGTTAGAAATATTAAAGGTGCACACCATCAGGTTTCAAAGATGTAGGGATTAGAAAATTTTAGATTGTAGCAAAGACTCAATACCTTTATTCCCATTCAGATTAACTACAATTTAAAAATAGAGACGGTTTTTAGTTTTCAGTGCTTTCTACAGAAATCCCCCAAAGAATCCCATTTAGCATTAAAAACTATATATTTTCTGTAGGACAGTTATATTTATCGATCATGTATCTCGGACAGCTAAATATGTGATAACCAAGTACATCAGCAAACCTATAGTCTGGGACGACATGCTCAGGAATTTTATGGAGGTCAGTTTTATTTACTTTCTCAAAACATTAATAGTAAATATATTTATTGCTCTCTCACTTCTTTCTTCTTCTAATTTTTACCATCCAAAGGAAATGTAAGTCTTTTTGTACTCTTTTTCAAGGAAAGGATGAATGAAATATTTTCACAAATGTGACAAGGAATGTAAAGTTCTATGAGATATATGTAGATATAAGATAAAGGGGTGTCTTAGCCCTCTCATACAAACAACACCCCCCCCCCCCCCCCCCCCTTACAATCAGTTTTAGATTCTTGCAAAAATCTAGACATTTATTATAAGTACTCATGAATTTTTTAGACCGGATCGACTTTGAAATGTTGCAACGCCTATACTAAGAACTATACAGTTACTAAAAGTCTTGTTTTATCTGTATAATTTGCATGCACAATGATGACAAGAATAAAAATGAATTTCATTCTTTGTCTTCGTTCAATATTTTATAATAAACATAACTAAAGATTTTACAAATGATAAATCTTAAATTATTTTTAACGCTTGGTTATGATTATTCCAGAAAAAAATCCATTTCGACTTTTCAACAAATAGTAAGATAGAGTAGAGGGAAGACGACTTTAGATTTATTGAAGGGTTTTTAGAGAGGGGAAAGTCCAATTAACATCGGTACCGTTATGTACAGGATGAAATGTTGAAACTAGCAAGTCTAGTTGAACCAATGGTCTGGGTTTATGCAGAGGATGTTTACAGGTCAATATAAATTATCAATTATCAATATATATATAATTTTTGATAAATAATTAGAAATCTTGCAAAGGAAAATTTTTATTCATTATAAATATTCCCGTAGTATTATGTAAAATAAATGTTGTAGAATTTTGAACTAAATAGATTGTATTTAATTGCAGGTTCATGCCCCCCTACACGTGGGAGAGGTATGCTCAAGTCTTTCCTTACCTTTGGACAGCATCAGCTTTTAAAGGTATTATTATTATTGTTATTATCATTATTATTATTGTTATCATCACTGTTACGTATCTAAAATTTGGTATTGATGTTGGTGAGTGTTAGTATTAGTATTAGTATTAGTCTTAGTATTATTATTATTATTAATGTATGGACGCTAAGTTATTCGGTATGAGACGTCTTTAACAATTTTCTCCTTATAGACGCAACAGATAAAAGTAAGATTAGTAGCGATCAAAAGCGCTTTCATTAAGCCTATACCCCCTTTCATTTTTCGCGAACACTCCTTTTAATGCATAGAAAAAGTATTAATGTTTCAATAAATTGAAAAAAGAAATGTAGATTCTTTCACTAAAGGTTAAATTCACTACCTGAACAAAATTATTTTGTAATAATAATAAAAAAATGATCAAATTAATATTAAAAATAATAATTGATAGAAAAAATTACGATATTTTTATTATTTGTAATATTACTTATATTTTAAGCGTTACTACTACTGACAATGCGGCAAACTATTTGTTATTCAGCTATTATTTTTAAACTTTTACAGAATTGTTTTTAGACTTATTGTAGTGTGTCATTTTTGCACAACATTTTTCAAAAATTAACTTTTTTATTTTTAAAATTTTAGGAACTAGATTTTGAAAGGGATAATTATCTTTGGAAAGCCTTATCTTGGTGCTACTTTCCGGGATCCAATTTTTTCAGGTAAATGCATTAGTTTAAAGATTCAAGTTTTTTAATAGTTGGAGATTTTTTAACAGAATCCCCTCCCCCCCCATTATAATTATTATTAGGTGCACATGGTGAGACCCTTGTGGTCCCAGATGCTAAGAGACATCTAGTGAATAATCTCTATTGGATTAATGTTATGAGGGAACAAGGACCTAAGCTTAAGGGAGGTTTTAGGGGCATAGCACTAACAGGTATTTGTTATTTATTAATTTACTTATTTTTTAATATATATTGGTTTGAATTTGAATTCAAAAATGGCTGACGCTTTAAAAAAAAATTATTTTGAAGGTTTTTTACTCTTTTTACAAAATGTTGACTAATTTTACTCTTTTTACAAGATGTCGACTAATTTTAACTCCATGTAAAATGTCAAGGTAATAATTTGCATCTTAGAAAATATCAAAAAGAAAAATTATGTTTTACAATTAACCAATTTTGGATTAAATCAAATAGGAGTCGTTTGACAATCTTTTTGTAAAATGAATCCTGGAAATATTTTTAATATTTATTTTCAGGTTGGCAGCGGTATGATCATTTTTCTGTTCTCTGTGAACTGCTGCCCGCAGGATTACCCAGTCTTGCGATAGGCGAGTAAATTCAATTTGTTTTTGTATTCATATGTTTCCTTGAGTGGTCGGCATTTATATCAATACAACGAAGACAACTTTTCCAGTTTTTTATTTTTTTATTTCTAACAAGCTTTTTTCAAAATTACAAGTTAACAAATAAACAAAGAGAAGCTGTTAATTAACAGCTTCTCTTTGTTTCCATGTTTATGTGTATCCATGATGTTAAAAAAATTAAAATCAAAAGTCGTCTTCATTGGTATTCGTCGACGACTCAATCATAAACTTAAATGACGCCTCAAGTTTTTTTTTACTTTAGTGTATTGGTGTAGTAAAATGAGTTTCATTCATTTCTCAATAAACAAAAGTTTGAAATCATACAAAAATACAACCACAGACAAGATTACTATTCTCACTCTTGGGTGTAAAATCAAAATTAGAGGAGTAATGAGATCGTAAAGTCGTGCTGGAAATATCGGATAGAAGTTACAAAATCCTTGCTGCATAAATGTTCAAATACGAAATTACGCTTTGCGTATTATAATTGTTTTTTCTTTCAAGTTTTTTATGAGTTTTTGGTGCTCAAGTTATTTTTTGCAACCCGGTGAAATATCAATACAACGGTAAAATATCAATACAACGGTGAAATATCAAAGGTTATTACCATCGGGTTGCTAAGTTACTGGGATTAGAAAATTTGATTGTGTGGCAAAAATTCAGTTTCTTTTATCAATAGATTTAAGCTTCAAGGGAATTTCAGTTCTTCATGTCCGGTTCCCACCGGTACCCCCTAGAGTCTTTATCTAAGTAACTAAAATAATAATCTGGCCGTTTTCCTTTCTTGACAAATGTTAATTCCTTCTTTTGGCTCTGTTGCAAAATTGAAAGTTACTCTTTCTGATAAATAATCAAGGTTCAGATTATTAAACATGTTTAAAAGTGTACTATCGTGAATGGGACATGATCCACTTTTAAATTAAGGCTCACTTGAAACTACATTATAGATCTGCTCTCTGTCAGCCATGGGAGTTATAATGTATCACTAAACTCAAAATTCTTCCAATCCCTCAGCTGTCCAGACAATTACAGACGTCAGGTCATTTTAAATTTAAAAATTAATCATTCACGTTAAACTAAAGTAAATTGCATTCACGTTAAAGTTAAGTAAATTGCATTCACGTTGAAGTAAAGTGAATGCATTCACGTGAAACTAAAGTTAATTGCATCACGTAAAACTAAAGTCAATTGCATTTATCTTAAACTAAAGTAAATTGCATTCACGTAAAACTAAAGTAAATTGCATTCACGTGAAACTAAAATCAATTGCATTTACGTTACACTAAAGTAAATTGCATTCACGTGAAACTAAAGTAAATTGCATTCACGTGAAACTAAAGTAAATTGCATTCACGTAAAACTAAAGTAAATTACAATCACGTAAAACTAAAGTAAATTGCATTCACGTAAAACTAAAGTCAATTGCATTCACGTTACACTAAAGTAAATTGCATTCACGTGAAACTAAATAAATTGCATTCACGTGAAACTAAAGTAAATTGCATTCACGTGAAACTTAAGCAAATTACCCTCAGGTGAAACTAAAGTAAATTGCATTCACGTTAAACTAAAGTAAATTACATTCACGTGAAACTGAAGTAAATTGCATTCACGTTAAACTAACGTAAATTACCTTCACGTGAAACTAAAGTAAATTGCATTCACGTTAAACTAAAGTAAATTACATTCACGTTAAACTAAAGTAAATTGCATTCACGTTAAACTAAAGTAAATTGCATTCACGTTGAAGTAAAGTAAATTGAATTCACGTGAAACTAAATTAAATTCCATGAAATATTGTAATCTTATATGTTTTCAATCCAAACTACGCTAATTGTTGAGTTATTGAGAAGAATAATAATGTTTTGAATTTCTAATGTTTTGCTTAAAACTAAAATATAAAATATAAACTATATACAAATGTGGCGAAAGATAATCGATGATCCTAGATTTCACCGGTTTTTTGGAGATAAAAAGATTTGTAAACAAACGGATCTTCAAATAAAATTTAGTTTTAATGTCTGTGGACAGAATTTAATGAATTTGCGGGATCGCTGAACTGCTTAACACCGGTAAAAATTTGAATCACCGATTCAAATCCTTCAAATTGGAACCGGCAGTAGGTAGTTGGGTCCGATCAGTTCTGCAGTTTTGATGTTAATTGGATTCAAGCCATTTACTCATATTGAAAACATCTCGGAAACCCAGCTTAGCCTTGATTTTTTCCTTTAAAAATCGACCCACTCATTTTAAAATTAAAACCAAACTAATATTTTTTCCGTGGTTTTCCTGAGTTCCCCAATCAAATTTTGAGGCAAATCGGTCCATGGGTTCCTGGGTTGTGATCGGACATACAAACAGACAAACGGAGATTACTACTTTATATACTTCTATGCAGTATACATGATGATGATATATGATTATTTAGGGTTACGGAGAAACTAGTTTTGTTGGAAAAAGATGTTTTTGAGTTTTTAGATAAGTATGTATAATGTATACCATTTAAAAAATATTAGGCATCCTCATATTTGCAATAATTAAAATCTCATGTAAATAATTAATATCTCATGTAAAACAAAAAAAATTAGCTTACCTCATAATTGCAATGATTAAAAGCTTTTCATTTAAAAGTTAAGGCTTAAAAATAAACAATGTAATAGATCATTGTATAGCTAAAATATCTGGGAAATTTATCTAAAACAGTATTTGGTGTATAATCCATTCCTACATTTATTATTATTTTTGTTGCTTTTATAAATTTAGGATTTTGAACCATTCTTTTTATACTTTTTTTACAATGATTATTCAAAAATATTGAAATTCAAATTTAAAATCAAAATTTTTTTTTAAAAATTGTTTTTAGGGCTGAGAGGAAAAAAGGCTGGTTAACCCAATACAGCAAAGATCATCATTTTGGTTCACCCTTCAGGATAGAAGAGGTTAGCACCAACTGATACAAAAATATTAAATTTAAAGGATTTCTTGAAAGACATTAAAGATTGAGTCTTTGACAAAAACTCTGATTTTATAATCCTTATAACTTTGCAACCCAATGTTGTAGACCGTAGATATTTCAAACTATGAATTCTGTTACATAAAATAGTCTCAATTTATAATATCAAAAGTTTACATTATTAGTACAAAGATATAAAGATTAGAAAATTCGAGTTTATGGCAAAGACTCAATTCCATTAAGATAATTTTTAAGCGTGCACTTTCGAATAAAATTTAACCTTCTCAACAGAATTTTTTATCTTTTTCTGTTTTGAACCCTTTGTTTCGAATGAAAAAGTACAAAAAAGTAAATAAAAAGTTAAAATTGAATAAACTGAACGCTTCTAGACCTGGTTAGTCCGTGATGGAATCTTATCAATATTAATCAAATCAAAATTGGGATCAATATCTCTGTGATTTTTACCATTTGGGGAATGAATACTAAACTAGGTTTTTTTTGGGGGGGTGGGGCGATAATCTTTTAAGAAAACGTCAACTTCTGTTGAGAAACCCTATAGTAAAATATTCTGTTTAGATAATGTCAGACTGGTCAAGATATCAACATGAGGTTATATCCCTTATGTTTAGATAATGTCAGACTGGTCAAGATATCAACATGAGGTTATATCCCTTATGTTTAGATAATGTCAGACTGGTCAAGATTTCAACATGAGGTTATATCCCTTATGAAGGTGGCAAACTCAGCCTTAAGTGAGGTAGGATTTTAAGCAAATATTTCTCAATAGATTTTAAGTGAAGGATTTCATCATAGCTATGTTTCCAGGGCTTTAAAAAAAATTAGTTTATTCTTTACATTTGTGTTCCTATCACTATGCAAAAGGTAACCCGGAGAGAAGATATATGCAAAAAAAAGAACCAAACGCGATCTTGTTTTGTTGTTAGATTTTCTCCAAATGTTTCCTTGAGATACAAATTCTGCAAAGTTTAATAAAAACAAACTTTACAGAATTAAAACTATTCAAACTTAACCGGCACGGTTTACATCTAGGATATATATATTAAAATGAAAAGTCTAAAACTTTTCTCAGAATAGCGTGATGTAATTTGTATTTTATATTTAGATTATTTGATGAAACTGAATATATTTTTTGAAATATCTAAGGTATTCGATATTGGGATTAGAAAAATGTGTGGCAAAGACTGTACTCCTTTATACAACAAAATAAATATAAGGTTTCTGTGCGTACTGCCGTCATCTGCAGAACACAAACCTAAGAAATAGCGGGGTTTAGTGGAGACTGACAACATTCTTAATAGCTCTGATTGAAACCATTTCTTTCTAGGTATTTGATCATCACACAGTAGGGGAGTGGGTTGAATTAAAACTGTATCCGATGTACAAGAAACTATCCATACTCAGGTCATTAATTCATTAATTGATAATAGATTTAACAATTTATTAATTTATTTATTACTAGCTGAAGTGCACGGCGTTGCCCGTGGAATTGTAAAACACTTTTTTTTTTAATTCAAATGTTGAGAAATAAAGTTGAGGCAAATTGGTTGGTCAAGGGGTTCGTGGAGTTATGATAGGACAAACAAACAAACAAAAAGAGATCACGATATTTATACTATATAAAAATGTTTATGAAACTATAGTGTACTTTATCATTATTCCTCACTTCATCGTGAGTTTCATAATGAACTTGCTGTAAAGTAATCATCGTGCTATAAAGTTAAATTAGCTAAAATATCTGTCCAAAAACTTTGTAAAACTGCGAACCAAAATAACAGTGTTATAAATAGTTATTTAATTTGAAGCTGAAATATATATATATATATATATATACAGATACGGGAGGAACCAACTGTCCATGTAATATGGGAAAAATACTCGACCCATGTCAACATGTATTTGTTTATGTTTTAAAGCAAAGCCACTGTAGCCTGAAAATCATTTGGATCCATGTGAACACTAAACAATTGAAAAATGTAAAGCATATCTTGAATTCAACAGTTGTCATCTTATTCCACAGTTTGGTCGAGTTAATAATATTTAGAAATTATTTAGGCAAGAAGCTGACGTCCTAAAAACATCACTCTACTGGGAGAAACGTCCTTTTCCTGTTGCTAACTCCATTTTAGACCTTGGTATTGGGGTTCCCCCAACCTCCCCGCCCCCTCCATCACAACATGGTGAGAAGAGGCGTGTCTATCAACAACCTGACTTATACTCCAGCAAGAGTAGGCTACGAGCACTAGGAACCGTATAGGGAGGATTAAATTAATCCTTTTAGTCAAATATCTGATAAAATAGAATACAGATTTTAAATGTAACTTAAAACCCCCAGCCTCTTGTTTCTTTGCGGAAGAAATCCACGAATCATTCTTAAGAAAATCTACGGATCAAAATGAATGCACAAGACACGCTGTATTACAGGATAGTTTATAGGATCTTTAAGTTTCAATTGTCAAATCTTTTTATATAAGTATACAGCCTGAAAAAAAAACAATGTAAATCTGAATGTTTGCTATCACAACAATTTTTTAAAACTCTTGGTTGCGGTTATTTATAATGATCGTTTTGTATTCTCTTTCTCCTTTCTTACTCAATAATCTTTTTACGACGTGTCTAAAATGATAAGTTTATGTAAACCGTCCATAATATTTATAGCCCCAAATTTATAGAAATAAGTCAAATAGATTAATGCCGGACCTTTAAATTAAAATTTATCTAAAGAGGTTCCATCACTCTCCAGTTTGCCATAATATCAACCCCCCCCCCCACCCCATCTAAAAGAGATAAAAAATGAAAAGAAACATTTATCAATCGCATTTATGACTATTTTTTTTGCTCTGACCTGTGCAATGCACGTTGTTTGTTCGTTTTCTACATTTATATTAGTTTTCAACTTTTCTCATTAAACTTGAATTTTATAATCCTTAAATCTTTGTAACCTAAGCTGGAAACTTTAGAATGAGATATCCTTAATCCCGATTACTTAATCTTAGTATCCAATAAACACACTTGATTTTCTTGGATATAGTAGAGAAAAACCGGTTTATTCCCTCCCGTTTCTATATATAATCTTAAATAACACGCAAAATTTCAAATTTATCGACTTCATGTATGCGACTCTGATTGGTTGAATTTTTTACACTTATCATGATACAAGTACAAGATTAGGTTAGTCTCGATAATAAGAAAAAGAGAGGATCAAGCATTAATCTCAATATCCATCAAAGTTTTCAGCTCTGAAGCCGTAAAGGTTTTTAATTTTAAACTATAAATTCTATTAAATCAAATAGGAGGTTTTTATATCAATATTTACAACATCAGGTTGCAAAGATTTTTAAATTGGAATATTTGAATTTAAGGCGAGTAATCATGGTCAATTTTCTATTTTCTATTAAGAATTGACAGAAAGTAATAAAAACGTCAGACAATCTTTCTACATTCTGTGATAAATTAAACTGAATAATAAATATTGTGTCTTAAAGTTGACATTTTAACCTTTTTTTAAAATTTTCATCGTTTATTTCAATTTACTTCGCGATGCCTTAGAGTAAATATGTAAGCAAGAAAATCCTGCTGAAGCAATTTGTTTTGTTGAATAAATTTGATAAATGTTGATGTTTATATGTATTTAATATTTATGGTATCCATAATTTTAAATGAAATCAAATTTTATGATTTTAAAAATAATCCTGTACTCACTGAAATTTATAATTAAATGGAATAGTTTGTATTATTTTAGTTTAAACTGAACATCTCATACTGTGAGATAAATTGTAAAATTTACAGTAAACATTGTAAAATGTAGTATAAGTATACATTTGTAATTTATTTGTTTAATTATTTGTTTGTTAAATCAAATTTTCTGGAAGAATAATTAGAAAAAGAATTAAGTCACTGAGTCGTTCAACGATTTTCTGATTTATGTTTTACTAGCTTGAAAACCCAGCGTCGCCTGGAAACTAAACTTTCTTTATTTTTAACAAAATAAAAATATTCGCGTGGTCGTTAGGTGTTCCCTTATTAAAGTTTGAGGAAAATTGTTCCATGGGTCCTTGAGTTATGATCGGAGAAACAAACATCTCGACAGAAACTACTCTTTACATTTACATTTAAAAAACTTACATGACCTAGGGAAGGATATATGGATTGTTAAAGTTGAATAATATCGCCTGAAATAAATGTCGACAATCAAGTATTTTTAAAATAAAATAATCAAAAATTGTCACTTTCAGAGCAATAGCTAAATGCTGAAACTGTAATAGTTAAGGGGCGCAAAGCACCATAAAAGCCTTATAATGTTAATTTAGAATATTTTAAAACGGGGTTTTATTTAAAAATTAAACTTTCTATAATATTACATGGCTTTAATTATTTTCAAACGGTGTCTAAGAGGGGTTATGAAGTTTATTTTGAACACTTTTGAACAACATGATTTGCCTAATCTGAAATAAAAGGATGCAAATATATCATTATTTTTTTTAAAATCAAGTTAACAAAGCTAATAAATGTTCTAAAGAAGTGTCTATATCATCTAAGCCAGCCCCGTTTTAATTTTTGCTACCTAAAAATGAGAGTTTGTCATATGCAACTTTATCTAAAAAAAATTTTTAAATGTCGTCTTAATTTTCAAAGTATAGACATGCTTGGATGAATATTTTTTATGATTTACTTGCCAACAAAAGTAGGCAAAAGTTTCAGTGAATACTGCCATGATAAACTGAATTCATACATATTTTCTGTAATAATAATAATGTAATACCAGATATTACCAAAACATTAGAATATTGAAAATATGTAAAACTACTGCAGCTGAAAAGCTTTGATAGCTTGGAGCTGCTTTTATAAAGAGTTCTCCTGTGATCCTTAACATTTAGATATTTTATAACGAAGGTTAAAGATGGCATGGTTGGTAGAGTATAGGGAATATGAATATATATCTTAATTCCATAAAAACCTTCATTGCATGATGTAAAATAAATAGTACATTTTATGCCTTGTGTCACGAACAACAGCTAATAGCTATATACTGATATTTCGATTATTTAAAGATTTATGGCGATTCATTTAGCATACTATCCCGAGTTGTCGTCTTTATTTCATCAATGCTGTAAAACTTGCTCCAGCTGCACTAAAAGTCGGCCCGATACAGCGACTAAAGGAAAGTTGACCAAATTTTTATTTCGCAAATTCAAAATTCTTAATTAATTCGAAAAAATATGAAATTTGTTAAAAACATTGAAATTTTTAGATATAAATGGGTCAAGTCGCGATATGACCCAAACATATACACTAAATTGAGCGGATGTCCCGAAAATTGTTGTTGCCGAAACGTGGTCAATCCCTCCCTCCTCCTCCCCTCATTTGTTCTTACAACTCACACTCTCTCAACTTACAGCGCGTCTTGTTTGGTAGGTCTGGTACGTAAGGAACAGTTCAAGACCATGAATTTCAGGCTGTAAGGCAGTGTGTCCGGTCCGGGTATACCTATCTATCTATCCATTTATCTATTATCCTTCTATCTATCTATCTATCTATACATCTACCTATCTAGCTCGAACATTAGTCAGTCAGTACTCAGTCTTCCACTGTACAGAAGCGCAGGCGCTGCCTCCAGGCCTAAAAATACGCAAACGCAGAGTGCACATTCCTCAAGGAATTCTATATGTACGAAAATACAGATATTAGTACAAGCTTTCATTATGAAAATTAAATGTATATTATAGAGTGATGATGTTTCTGCAGGATCGTGTAAAAGAATGAATGACATGACTCATATTTCTCATACTGAACTTTTCCTTTCAGAAAATCTGGAATTCTCTGTGAAAAAGTGAGTAAAAAAATGGCATCATTAGAGGAAAAACAATTAGGAAATGAGTTAATTTGAAAATGAAAAACTAGGATTTGTGAATTATTATAGGTTTGAATTTTAAGATGCGTTTAAATAATTCATTTTGGAGAATTATTTCAAATTAAAGAGGTCAGGGTCTGTCCTATTATACGATTTTTGGACCCCCCCCCAGGCCCCCTCCTATCAATTTTGTACATGACCATTTATTTTTCAGCAAATTTATATCCCCTCCCCCGTCTACCTGTATTCTCAAAATAATTTATAATCTTGTACTCCAGGATGTACACTATAACCTCCTTCAGGCAGCTAGGCCTATACTGCCTGTGCCACTTTAACTGCCTTAAAATCCTGATCAGTGAGTTCAGTTATACACTCAAGGAGGTGTACTTGTTGCTAGGAAGCAAAAAATATCGTTCATTAAATAAAATATATCCTTCATAAAGACCTTGCACTTTCACTGGAATTGCAATTATGGTTCCTAATGGAATCGAGTAGTACATTAATAGTACATTTGGGGGCATAAGAATACAATTTCTGTATCATTGTTAAAGGGAGTTTTCGCGAAAAATGAAAGGGGGTATAGGCTTACGGCAAAAAATAATCGCTTTTGATTAAATTCATAATCACTAATCTTCCTTCTATCTGAATTGCGTCTATGAGGAGAACATAGTTAAAAACGACTTTTACTGAGTGACGTTGCGTCCATACAAATTCAGAAAGTTGCAATATACAACTCGTATCGTAAAATAATCAAATTAATTTCAAGCAAATCATTCAAATATTACAACTTAAATTCATAGATGGGTCATTCCATGTCAAGTCAGCCACCTGATGGACGGCATGTCACAGATTTTGCTGAAATTTTGCATACAATTTGGGATATGAAAAAAAATGCCGGAACCCGAAGATGAGCGTTCTGAGACCTCGGAGGCCGGAGATATGGCTCCGGAAAGTTTCCGATAATTCGAGATTTCGAGGCCGGCCTCTATATTTCAAATGGCTCTAACTTTTTTGTTTTAGGTTATATAATTTGAAGCTGAAATATATATATATATATATATATACAGATACGGGAGGAACCAACTGTCCATGTAATATGGGAAAAATACTCGACCCATGTCAAAATCTAAATTAGCATTACATTATCAGGTCTCCTCCTCAACAGGAACAAATACATATGAATTTAACTTTTCTAACCCCTTCCTTATGGCAGTATAAAAATATGTAAAAAAAATCAACACAATCGGAATTGGTACACATCCTCAAACGGAGGCTGAAAATAAAGAAATGCAATTATGACTTGTAAATAATATTTTAATGATATTTTTTCTTTTAACGCCAAATAATGGGCTTGTGATTACCTATTCAAAACTGAAAAAAATTTGGAGCTATCTTCTAAAACAAAAAAGTTAGAGCCATTTGAAATATAGAGGCCGGCCTCGAAATCTCGAATTATTGGAAACTTTCCGGAGCCATATCTCCGGCTTTGGAGGTCTCAGAACGCTCATCTTCGGGTTCCGGCATTTTTTTTCATATCCCAAATTGTATGCAAAATTTCAGCAAAATCTGTGACATGCCGTCCATAGGTGGTTGACTTGACATGGAATGACCCAGATAGATTTTTTTCGACGCATTCATATATTGTTAATAAATCTGAATTTGTATGGACGCTATGTGCTTCAGTAAAAGTCGTTTTTATCAATTTTATCCTTATAGAAGCAACAGATAGAAGTAAGATTAGTAGCAATCAAAAGCGATTATTTTTCGCCGTAAGCCATTTTCCCCCCTCACATTTTTCGCGAACACTCCCTTTAACTTTGGCAAGTGAACTGCATTGGGTGATAAAATGTGTAAATATCGTAATCAACATAAGAGATAAGTTATGACAAATAGAAAAAAAACTCCCTTGCACCGTACATTCTTCCGTATGGA